AGAGTAAAAACATTAACAAAGTATATAATATTTGATAAAGAATCTAAATTATCCAAAGAAAAACAAATCTTCAGCTTTGAGAACATTTCTAAACAAATTGAGGGATTCTCATAGTGAACTATTTGAGATAGTCACTATTGAAGACGTGAAGGTGAGCAGAGTGTGTGTTTTTGTCGTTCTGTGGGGACAATTTCCCATAAATATGGCTGCATTTTGAAGGCTTACAGAGGTGTCAAAAATATGAATGTTTATTAATCAATTAAAAGTATGAATTCTATGGTTTAAAACACTTGGAGTTAGAGTATCAACTTAAGCTTTTTACTCAAATCATTTTTTTAAACTGCTTAGAATATAAAATAAAAACTAATGCATGAAAAAATGCTAAGGCAGAAGCTTTACTGCTCTAACCTATGTAAAGAAGATTGTTCTACAAATCTGCACGATAACTTCCTTACACTTTTAGTTTTAGTTATACAGTTTTTAAGTTGTATAACTAATGGTAACAGTGTCAAATTTAACTTTGCAACATCTTGAAAAGCTATTTATCTTGGTATGTGGTGAACAAGTTGGTGCAGCACCGAGTTCAATTACAGAGAAATTGTCTGGATGAAACAAAGTGATATGATTTTCTTTTAAATACCAACAAGCCATAACGAAAATTAGTTTAAATAAAACAAAACTAACAAGTCTTTATATATATATATATATATATATATATATATATATATATTAGAAAGTAGATATACTGTACAAAATAAAAAGAAGCAATGTAAAGAGTATAAGTAAAATATGTCTAAAAACATTACTCAATTAAAGTATATATAGCCAAAATTTCTACTCGCGTAAAGTAATGAAATATTTTTACTTTACTTGACACCTCTGGAGGCATATAGGTGCTTTTGGGGACTAATTATTTCATGAGAAGTTAACCTCATGGAGGAGGGGTTAGTTATAGGGTTAGTTATGTGTTGGTGGGGGTAATGGTCAATGTTAAGCTGTAGAATTAAATGCAATATGAATGGAAGTCAATAGAAAGTCCCCACAAGGATGGTATGAAACATCATATGGGTGTTTGTGTCTGCTGCCCTCGTGTGGACAGCGTGGGTAACTACATGGGCGGTGGCACACGTGTGCAGGTGTGTGCAAGTTTTGAAAGGTGCACATTGACCTAAGTAGGTGGAGCAGAGAGGTTGTCAGGCAGCTGTACTTGTTGTTGACAGTTATTATTTGATTCTGCTTTACTTCCTACATTCTGACCCCCAACATTTCAATATTCCTGCCTCTCTATCCAGACTGTGTGCCAGTGCTGTGACAGCTGCATGTCTTTGAATTAATGACAAAACGCTTCCTGGATCCAGCAGTCTCTGTAAAGGTCTGCAAAGCTTTTTACCAATCTACGGGACCTGATCATACCTCACATCACCAGGAAGCTGCAGCAGATATCAATGAAAGAAGCCTACTTATGAACAGCTGGCACATTGAGCCACAGGCGTAACTATATGAAGGATTGGGGTGGACATGTCCCCGCCAACCTTGGCCTGGTGGGGACAGTACCCACCAATAATTATCTTTTTTTTTTTTTCCTTTCCGCTCATTTCCTTTAGCCAAACGTAACAGAGGTTGGGTGCAGCTCTCCATGTGAGGAGCGTTTTCAGTCTGTGTTTTTTTTAGTCTCTCCCCCTGTTCCCGTGTTCCGCCTCTCGGGGATACGTCATCGGATCTGTCATTTTGAGTCATCTGATTTGCGGCCTCATTTCACTGACGTACATAGTAGCTATGTTGTTGGAGGAGAGACACACAGCAGCACTCAGTGAATATTACCTGGCAGCAACTTCAATGTCTACGTAAAGATTATGAGACAGGCTGGTTAAAAAAATTAAAGATGCCACCGAAACATCTGTTCATTTGACAAACAGGGCTGTTTCAGCTAGAAATTCCATTCAGAATGTAAGAATGTATTAAACAAATAATTCAATGTGTTCCAGGCCAAGGACCCCCAAACTGATGGAGAGATGGAGCGGGGACCCCCTAATCATATATAGTATGAAATTCTGTTATATAAAACTGGTCCTATAGTCACTCTATTACAGATGGAGTAATGTAATTAAAGTAATTTCTCGCTGGAATTATTAAAGTATTTCTGATTTCTGGTTGATGGGACAGGTGTAATGGATGAAATGGTGTCCAGCTTGAAAGAGCTCCTGTGTGTCTGAATGTGTGCATTGATGACTGAAAGACATCTTCTGCCTTCATTAATCTGTTTACTACAGTGTGTTGAATTCATGTTAATGTGGATTTAAAGACATTTCAATTAGTGGAAAAAATTGCAGGGAGGAATAAAAAAAAAGCAAAACTTTCGCGACCCCAATGCAGTACCTCCGTGGAACCCCTAAGGGCCACGGACACCCTGTTGAAGACCTCCGCCATAAGGCGTAAAAAAGGGTCATTAACTCTTTCTAAACCTATCAAAGACCCTTTTTAAAGAACCTCTAATACACCGGATCCTTAGGCAGTTAGAAAGAGAAAATGTATAGTTTGATTAGTTGTATCTATAAAGATAATGCAAACAAAAAGACAGAATTCTGTTGACATAGACCACTTTGGTTCTGACTCATTTTCTGTCCCTGTTAACTTGCTGCCTTATGAGAACCCACTGTCAACAGAATACATGTTCAAGTGTTTATGTCTCAAGTCAGAGTTAATGAAACAGCAGCCCCACACGCAAAGGAAAAACAACGTCAAAGGAAGCCATTGCCATTTAAATAGCATCTGCTATATGAAGAATAGTAGGTATGAAGGTCAAAGGTGAGAAGTTCTGTCAGTTATAACTCTCATTACTATATAATGATTAAACTCATATACAAATCTTTCTTCAAACTCTCATTTCAGTGCAGTATTGCACCTTTAGGCAACATTTTTTATTTCTGAATGTTTATCTTCATCCCTTTAATCAAAAGAAAAGAAGAATTACAACATAATTTATGATTACTTCACTAGTCTGTTCTGCCCTGCCTGTTTAGGGTTAGGGTTCTCTTTCTGTCTAACGGGTCAATAAGGCAGACAAAGTTTATCCAGAATGCTGCTGCCCACAGCATCACTAAAATTAAGAAAGTCGAGCACATCACCCCTGTTCTAATGTCCTCACACTGACTCCACGTATCTCAAAGAGTAGTTTTAAATACTTTTATATACTTTTAGTTACTAAACAAGTGTGTGGCCAGTTATACTATAATGGACTTGTTGAGCAGTTTTAGTCAGGTTTTAGAGCTCATCATAGCACTAATGATGTTCTTAGGGCCTCAGATTGACTTATATCCCCCCCCCCCCCCCCCCCCCCCCCCCCCCCCCCCCCGCTCTGTTGGATCTTAGTGCTGCATTTGATACAGTCAGTCACAATAGTCTTAAGGCAAGGTTTTGTTAAACAATTAGGATATATTTATTGACTATCCCAGTAGGGGTGGCAAATATGTCATTCAGTCAAAAAAATATTCAGACCATCATATATATTATTCTGTGGACACACGTCCAAATGTCTGTATGTTAGAAAAACACATTAAAGTGTAAATTGAGCTGAAATCATGGTCAAACAGATAACTCCACACATATGGAATAAATTCACCAACATTTCCATTCAAAATATGAGTTAATTAACTAAAAATCATTCAACTCCAAGTCAGACGTATTTCAGTTATAAACCCTTGACTATACTAGTGAAACTTAACTAAACTAAGATATGTTCATAAAGAAGGAAAAAAACATGGGCGAATATCTTAATCAATAAAATGATGCAATGATATCACAGTTTAGCATGGATGGTGCATTTTAGAACCAAAGTTTCTCTTGAGGAATTTATAATGTAATCAAATTAGATTTTAATTAATTTAGAGCTATTGGAATGTGTTCAAACCAATTCACAATGCAAATCCAACAGCTAAAATAAATAAAACATTTGGTAAAATCATGTTTCAACAAATGATTTGCTTAATCAGAAGCCGTATGTTTTATAAAACAAAAGACTCCAACAATCCAGAAGAATGAAGGACGGATATTTGATTTGCATCTGATGTGGAATGTGCTCAGAAGGGTGGATCTCCATGCTTCTACACCTACAGGTGGATCACAGACTGACTGAGTCCAGGAGCGTTAGCAGAAAGCAGAACAGAAAGCAGAACAGGTAATAGAAAGCAGCTCGACTAGAAACCCACAAGAAATAAAAACAGACTAACATAAATAAAACAGGAAAAACGTTAAATAATCCTCTGGAATTATACAATATACCTTTAATACCATGACACCTTTAAAACAAACACAAGGTGATTAAAGTGAATCTTGATAAATTACCCAAAACAACTAATAATCCTAAAACTATTCAGCTTATGTCAACCAAACAGTGAAATTATTCAGATGTAAATCAAGCAGATTCCAGGCACAGTGAAACAAACTGGTTCCATTCCATCCCTCATTCAGGTACTTCAAGCTGAAAAGCGAGTGATACCATGAATGTCAGAGATGAGGCCAGTGATAGTGATCAGGCAGTTCCAGTAAAAAGAAATGCTAGAAAATTCAGGACAGAAGACTTCCTGTTCTATTCTTGAGGTTCTGGCAGGGACTTGTGCTCCTTTTGATCTCCGCCTTTACGTGGAAAATGGCATTCCTGTTACAATTTGACATGTTTCAACTTGTAAGTTTTATTTGCGTGAGCATTCGGACTGATCATGTTTGTCTCTGCACGTTCAGCATCCATTAGGGAGGGAGGTTTTGTGAGCACTTGAATCACTCTTACTCTTTGTATCATTTCACAACACAGAAGCTGAGTAAAAGATTCCCTTCAGGGCAACACTAATCTGAATGTAGTTTGACAACATTTGGGCAACCATACATAAATATGCATTATTGTATATGATAAAGTATATTTGTTTTTAGCAGAATGCTTGATAAAATGATCATATATGAGAACTGTCAGTGAGGAAAGCTCGGGGGTGTTGCAGTCTTGGAGAAAGACACACCTCTCTTCCTTGTGCTGTAAAACCAAAGCATGTTGCAACCTGCAGGGAAGGACAAGATCTCCTTTATAATAAACTAACAGAGACTGAAAGCAGGACGAGAGCCGGATTTTTTCATCCAACAAAGATCACCAAAAAGCCAACCTAATTAGAGGTTAGTAACTCTGAATTCACCTTTTATTTGTCGCTTTCTTTCCGTCATCTTGGCTCTTCTGAATTTGCACACAATTGGAATTTATTACAAATCTGTGGCAAAGTATCTTAATACTGATCCGCTGTAAATATTTATTTCTCAATTCAGTGTTACATGGTTTTAAACCCAAACTTTCTCCCTTTTTTATTTTATCCGAACATTAAGGGTTTATACTGAAGTCCAAAACAAGTTATATTTTTTACATATTTCAATTTAAACTAATCATTTTACCAAAATGTTTCTTTTCACTGGGAGTAATAGAAAGATGTCAGAGAGGCACATCAGCGTTGTTACTTTTATTTAATAGAAAATAAGCGCAAGGAGCTAAGGATTAGGGTGATGGTGGGGAGGCCTTCCAATATCACGCAGTATATTTGGAGCTTATTCCAAAGACAAATCACTGAAAAAGCAGTAGAATTAGAGAAAGAAAAAAAATCAGTAAGAAGAACAAACTGCTGTAATTTCAATTAGGATTTTTGACTGATTGCTGAAAAGTCTATGAACAGATTTAGTTGGAACTCATATTACTTTATTTTCAAATATTTACAATAATGCCTGTCTCATTTCTATAGAAAAAACATGACTTATTGAATGAAAATAATTTCAAATCTAAATCTGTAAGGATTTTTATTAATTGGTTGTTAACTGTATTTTAAAGCACTATTATCACACAAACAAATGCATAAAAAAATCACTTAAATAACCCTGATATCCAGCTTTATTGCCTGCTACATCTTTATTTTCTGCTCAGCTTCAAATTATTTCAGACTTTTGCTATGTTTTCCTTTTAACAATAATCAAGTAGTACATTTTACATAATTTCTGTTACATTCTACAAGATACATAGCAGTTTATGTTGCATCTGTTAAGAAGTGATGAGGGGGAAACAAATACTGGTCTTCTAAGTAAAGAAAAACTGAATTAATTGCTTTGTTATAGTCAACCCAGAGGCCGAATGATCTCTGATCTACAAAGTTAATAAGTAAAGTGATAGAGAGTAAAAGAATTCTGGGGGACGTAAAACTATTTATATGAAACTGATGAAATACGTCTTTGACGCACTGCTGCTACTTTTTCACATGCTTTAGCTTGCTGTAGATATTTTAGAGATTACGTCAGGTTGGCACACATCTTCTTTTTCACTAATTAAATCTTCCCCAACTTTTAATGACCTAACACTTTAAAGACTTCTTTACGCATTTTATAGTGCAGGACCAAAACGTCAAATTTGTCCAGTGTTTACAAACCAAACTTAAAAAAAGTTTTTTTCAGATCTAAGAACAGAGAAAATATTTAGTGCTACAAATAGTTATATGTTTAGGATTTATAATGTAGAAAATTATTAAATAAATAATTGTGAAAAGCGTTTGTGCTCTTTAGACATATTTGAGGAGGATTTTTCTCTGGCGCCTTTGTCAAAATCCTTGCTAATATTTGCATAATTCACCTTTGGAGACCTACAGGCTGCACAGTGAGGCAGTGGGTAGCACTGCTGCCTTGCAGCAAGAAGTTTCCAGGTTCAATTCCTGGCCCTGGGTCTTTCAACATGGAGTTTGCATGTTCTCCCTTAGCATGCGTTGGTTCTCTCCAGGTACCCCAGCTTCCTCCCACAGTCCAAAAACATGACTGGTTAATTGACTTCTCTAAATTCTACTCAGGTGTTAGAGTGTGCTAACCTGACTCCGCCAGATGGATTTGCTCCGCATATCCATCTGGAAACCTTCCGTTGAAGCAGGGCCGTCACTAGGTTTGAGAGACATGGGTGGCTTAGCCCCTAGGTAAGATATTGCGCGCGCATAGCGCGCGCCGAAATTTTTTCAGTGCACTTTCTAAGGCGCTGTCTATAAATTCATTATTTTAAGAGCAACATACCTGGGAAACACTTCCCTCACTAATGCTACTTCACCAACTAAACTACACCAGTTAAAATGTGCTAAATTACAAAGAGTAAATGGTAGGTGCCATGCATTACTGCATAAATGGAAGAAGGCAAGTGGTTCGCCACTCATCATAATGGAAACCTTCTACAGAAGACAGTTGTCTAACCAACAGACTCCCAACATCTTCATAAACCCTTAACCTGGCCATTCATCTTTCCCCATCTCCCCTGCACCCACAACCTGTCAGGAACCCCTGTCTGCTTTGCAATAACCCTGTTTCTGTGTGTGTGCTTGGTGTGTGTGTGTGACCTGGACTTTGGCATGTCTTTCTCTACACCTGGCACAGAGAGAAACACATATATGTGAGGAACTTAACAATAAATGCAGCATTATCTTTGATAGATTTCTGCTTAATCTAAAGTTTAACCACAAAATACAAGTTGCATAAATGGACAGTAGGCAATAGGCAATAGCATCATTGCAAAGAAGGATATCCTTGAGACTTTTTCACATCAGTCTGACAAAGTTTTAATGCAAATAAAGGAAGTATTTTTAAGTACAATGTATTAATGAAAACACAAAATCAACAGTATATGAAACGTACAACTTAGAACTATAGTCAACCCAAGGAAGCACTACCATATCACACAGTGTCGCCCTATCAGACTGGTGGCACATAGATATGGGAGAATTATCCTGCCATAATGCAAGAGCACATAACTTCAATTAGAGAAAAGAATTTCATCTTCTTGCACTCAAAACTTATAATGCTCACACTCAAAACATGCGCTCTCTCTCAAATATTTTCTCTTCTCTCAAAAATCTTTGTTTCTTCTCTCAGATTTAAACAGATATTTTCTATATTATCACAGATATTTTTTCCTCTCGCTTGCCTCCATCTCCGCTCTGCACGGGTCTCAGTTACGCTCTGCTTGCGGATTTGTTTTGCTCTCTCAGACTGCAGTTGGATCGTTGCCTAGCAACCTTTCCAGCCAATAGAACGACAGCCTCGGAAAAGGTGCGCTTGTTAGACGTGAAAATTTCCCACGAAGAAGAAACGTCGGAGGTGGAAGGCCGGAAAGATTGCATGTGGATGGTCGTTTGGTGCATGGCGCGTGTTTTGAAGCTGCTTATGGAGAAATGTCTTGGGCCGTGAGTAGTGAGGAAACAGGAAGCGATTCTTGTGGGATGGAAGAGGGAAATAGTGACAATGAAGGTTGGAAGATAGCAACATCAAAAAATGAGAAAAAGCGGAAAAAACAGAGATCAGTTCAAGGGGAATCTAGTTCAGAACAATCCAGTGATGATCATTCCATACATTCCACAGCACAACAAAATGAATTCAAAGTCATATTCAAAGTCGTTAATCAGGCAGACTCTTTTACAAATTGGAATCCGGTTCACTTAACAAAAACCATCAATAAACTTGTCGGAGAAGTCAGAGGTGCCAGAATTCTGTACAGTGGAGACCTGCTAATTATCTGCAGAGACAGCGCCCAGCAAGGCAAAGCAATACGGATCAACAAAATTGACGGGATAAGAGTTCAGTGCAGCTTAATGGAGAACAAAAAGTTCAGCAGGGGAGTCATTGGAGGAGTTCCTCTAAAAATTTCTGAAAAAGAGATTCTGGAAAACATAAGAGGTGCAAAAGTAAAAGAAGTAAAACGGTTAAAAACAACAAGAAACGGAGAAAGATCTGACAGTTTATCTGTGCTAATTAAATTCGAAGAAGAGCAATTACCAAGCAAAGTATTCATCGGTTACATAAGCTATAATGTCAAAATCTACAATCCTCCACCATTGAGATGTTTCAAATGCCAAAAATTCGGTCACATTGCAGCAGTTTGTAAAGGGAAACAGAGGTGTGGAAGGTGTGCAGGAGAACATGAGTACGGAAAATGTGGAAAAGAAGCTAAAATAAAATGCTGTAATTGTGGTGGAGAACATACTGCTGCCTATCGCGGCTGTGAAGCAAGCAAAAGGTCTGAGGAAATTAAAAAAATGAAATTTGAGCTCGGAATAACCTACGCTGAAGCTGCAAAAAGGATCCCATCTCAGTCAGAAAAACCCAAACCTACAGTTCAACACACAGCAAATTCCAAACCTCTAGAGAAATCTCTAAAAATTGATGAAGACTCACTTATTGTTAAAAAGACAAATTTTGTTCTTTTCATGGTAGAAGTTATTAATTGTACTGCACAGACAACAAAAAAAACGGAAAAAATCAAAATAATAGTGAAGGCTGCAGAAAAATATCTGGACATTAAAGATTTGAACTGGGAGATGGTTGGAAGTATGATGGGAGGACCGATGGGACCATCAGAAACTGGCAGAGTTAAGATGACCTAGAGTAAATTAAAATTATATGGGCAAATGTGATTTAGTATTATGTTGGTTTAAGTTACACAGGTTTTTTTTTTTTTTTTTTTTTTTTTTTTTTTTTTTTTTTTTTTTTGGGGGGGGGGGGGGGGGTGAATCGTTTTCTGTTTTCTTGCTTTACTCCATATCAGTTGGTGGCGGTAATGCACAATTCACAAGTCTGCCAACCGCCATAAAACCCCATAAGAAGAAGAAGAAGGTGCGCTTGTTTAACCCTACGGAGTGTGCCTGTGCTACTACGCCACTTATAAAGCGTCAGCTGAAACTGCTATTTACAGTAGTTTTGTGGCTGATTGTTGTTTAGAAATAGAAAACCTGGTTTCATTTCTTAGTTTTGCCCTGGATTTTGTAGCGTTTGTGGACGCTACGTCGCTACTTGATCAAAACAATAACGTCGCTACAGGAAAGTTACTTGATAAATAAAGCAGCGACGCTACGGTCAAGCTACTTGAAAATGTAGTTAAACTAATAGCTTCGCTACATGTAGCGGCGCTACTGCCCATCACTGCTCCTGTGACAAAACTATTATAATGATGCTAGTAGGCTACAACAACATCGTGTTTTCCCACACCACTGACTTTGTTCACCATGGTAACGTAATTCCTACTGAATCAGACAAGCTATTAGGCCTATATTGTCTCTTTCCTCACTCCAGGTAAAGTGAAGAAAATGTAAACCGCTGACATCAAATGGCAAACTCACCGTATGTATCTGCACGCAACCATAACTTTCCTAATCAAGCTCGATGACTGTGTGGAGATTCAAAGGGCGCGCTGTTGCTGCACTGCACAGCTGCTATGGTCCAGTTGACGGCCGTGTACCACGTGACGTGACGCTGGACGCGGAGCCAATGAAGGAAATGAATATCCTAACGATATTAATAATTGTATAAATAATTGTGTTTGTAAATAAACTAACAGGAACTTATCTTCAGATTTACTTGCCTTCTTGGTGGCTCGTTTTCAGTGCTTTACTGCAATTGTTTGGGGTTATATGGAAAAAAAATCAATAAATAAAAAAATAACAATAAAAATCGCAAAATAATTATGGGGTGGCTAATACCAACGAAGGGATGACTTCAGCCACCCTAAAATAGGTCTAGCCACGTCCCTGCGTTGAAGTAATTTTGGGAAGGGGCGAAAATACTGGTTAGCTGATTGGCCTATGTTGGTGATAGACGGGCCAAATAAACCAATCAGATCAAGGAAGCATATGACGTTCTAACAGAGCGACGATGAAAACACAACCACAAGCCAGGCTCGGGAGAAGAGCAAAAACATCTTTTCCTCTGAGAAAAGCCTCCAGAGCAGTGTTTTGCTCTTCTTTCAGTGAAGAAATACTCTGTAATTCCGATAAAACTTGCTCGATAGCCACGCTAAGACTAGTTTCATCGGCTGAAGCCGCCATGTTCTTTAGACTGAAGTGTCGCGCTTCTCGTTGCGTCACACCTCAACCCGCCTGAAAGCCAACGCTGATTGGACGTTCGTTTGGTGAACGGCTCCAAATTTTCTTTAAGGGAGAGGCTCCAGACTGATCTGCGAGTGAAACCTTGAAAGCTTGCGAGATCAGGATGGTCTCACGAGGCTAAGAGTGTGCATGAATCGTTGTTTGTCCTGTTTGTCTCAGTGTTGCCCTGCGATGGACTGGCCACCTGTCCAGGGCGTACCCCGCCTCTCACCAGTAGACAGCTGGAGCACACCTCACTACTCCAGCAGGGATAAAGCGTGACAGAAAATGGATGGACCTTTAGAAACCTGTGGGGATAATGCTGGCTGGATATTTGACCACATTTCATTTCAGAAATCAGTTCTTTGAAATCATCACATTTTCCTGGGTTAACTTTGTTGATTATGAAGATTAATACAAAAGCTTCATCCATTCCAACCTATTTAGATGAGAATTTGGTACCATTGTCCTGTTCTATTATTCAACTGTTTTCAAACAAACAAATCATCAAACCATGTTTTTACAACTAAAACACGGTTTGATGAGCAGTCTGACACCTCTGTAGCACAGGACTGATGCAGCTATAAGCCTGTGGCCTATTTTCCCTGAATGTACTTCTGGTCAGAATGTCCGTCTCTGCTGAGCATATGTGACATCAAGAAATGGGTCCAAAGCAAACAATCAAAGAGTTATCGTCAGGATGGATTTTTGTGGATAGTGAGAAGTGACCGACATCCAGTTGAAACACCAATAGCAGGTCTATGCACAGTAAAAAAGTAATAACCCCCCCCCAAAAAAACCTTGTGATTTGAGGGTACGCTTCGACAGATAGCAGAAGAAAGCTGCAGTTCCTTGTTTCTGTCTCAGGGGGCAGTATTATTAAAAAACTCCATAATGCCTCTTTAACAATTCAACTATTAACTTTGTTGAATATGAAAGCAAGCCTCTGATTCTTTTATTTAACAAAATGGTTGCAATCAACCTGGATTTCCACCATGCTTAGCAGAAGGTGCACTGACCTTAAGATTGAAATCCTCTCTTTGATTCCTTAAACCCATTATCATTACATCCAAATTGTTCGATTTAAGTCGTAACCAACTGTAAAATAGTTATTCAGTTGTGTTTTCAAGATTAATAATTTCTTCCTTGTCACTTTATTTGATCATACTGATGTTTAATGAGCTTTATGGAAGATTTATACATTAGTTTTTGAGAATATTTCAGCTGGTGGTGCGTCTTTAGGCCCAGGTGGGTTCCTGGTTGATCCAGACCCTTTATTTGTTTAATCAGTCGGTCACAGCAGAGCTGAACTAATGCAAATTGGCTTTTTTGTAGGACCCTCAAACAATCAGGGGTCTTAAATGCAAAATTTTTAAACTGACCATGGATATATATAATATATTTTCATAGCTTTAAAGCTCAATCTATTAAATAGGAGGGGCCCCAAAATCAAATTCTGCCCTGAACCTAATACAACCCTGGGTGACATCTTTGGAATGGCCGTTGAAAAAGGTTTCAATTCTTGTTTGGTTTTTTTCTGCTTTTTCTTTAAAATCTGTGTTGTTGTTTTTTGTATAATTAATCCACAATTTGAATGATGAAATCAAAAATAAAAGACTGCATTCATGCTTATGTTAGTCCTGAAATGTATCTTTTTAAAAGAGGAATAAAAGTTTGGTCATTCTAAGTCAACAGGAAAAAAAGGAAATGTTTAGATTGATAAATATGTGACAAGCAATTCTGAGTCTACTGCTCTTAGTTTGTAGGAAAGAGATTTCTGACTATTTATACCAACAAAGTGTGTAATTTCTAAAAACTCTCTTTCTAATCAAATCTTTTTTAGAATGGTCCACTCTCAGAATCAAATACACCCAGAGGAAGAAGATAGTTCCGTAAGCAATGATTACGCCACAGCCATCGGCGCCCTGATCCTAAGCCTAGTTTTCCTCCTGGGCGTACCCGGCAACCTCTTCATCGTCTGGAGCATCCTAGCGCGCACCAGGAAGCGCTCTGTCACCACCATCCTCATTCTCAACCTGGCATGTGCAGATGGATTGCTGATGGCACTCACCATCTTCTTCATCATCTACTTGGCCAAGCAGTCATGGATCTTCGGCTCAGTTTTGTGTAAAGGTCTCTTCTACTTGTGCAATGCCAACATGTACGCCTCCATCTTCCTGATCACCCTGATGAGCGTTCACAGGATGGTGGCAGTACTGTTTCCACAGAAGCTGTTTCTAATAACCAGAAAGATTGTGATTAGGGTGATCCTGGGCATGTGGGTTCTGGTCATGGTGATCGCCATCCCCTCATTGGTGTTTCGAGAACTGGAAGAGGAGCCTGATGGCAATACCACTAAGATACGGATTGTGTGTGCGCCGAATCACACCATTGCCAGTCATGTAAGTTTTGATAATATTTTTACTTGTTTTTGGTAACATTTTAATGTAAAATGTTGTGATGATGCTGAGGATCAGTGTTGATTGCGTCAAGTTCGCCAGACAGTGCAAAGCCTGTTTGATCCGTGCCCTCTTTGGCTATGAAATTAGGGAATCTTGGCAACTTGATTTGGAATCATTCAGTCTTTCATATTTCATTATCTTATGATTACATCTATTATAATAGAAGTGTGTTGTAAAAATGCTGATAACTGATTATTAATAGGATCGACCCATTATTAATCACTTTTTAAAGCAATCCTTCATCCTGAGAAGGCATTTGGTGACAGTAGAGAGGAACAGATCAATTTTAGGAGGACCCTCTGTCAAAATCAGATCTGGGGCCAATTAACACAATCACCTGTAGTGTCTGGCTTGAGCTTGAAATGACAGGAAGAGACCGTATAGAAGCCCAAAAACTATGATTTAAGAGTCCTTAGGGGAAAAAAAAAATAACACACCAGATAATAAGTAGCTATTAAAATATTTTTTCTGAGGAAAAGACAGCGCTTTCAAAGCAACACCGAAGAGGGAGATCCAAACAAAAAACAAATAGTTCATGAGTGAATGGCTTGTCATAGACCTATTTATTGAAATTAAGTAATTATGGAAAGTGAATCTATCTTGGAAAGAAAGGGTGAGCTACAGTAGTAGTTTCTGTTGGAAAGAGAAAGCAAGAAATATACACTGCTAAAACAAATAAAGGGAAAACTCATATAACGCATCCTACATCTGAATGAATTAAATTATTTTATTGAATGCTTTGTTCTGTACAAAGCTGAATGTGCCGACAACAAAATCACACAAAAATCATGAATAGAAATCAAATGTATGAACCAATAGAGTCTGCATTTGAAATCAAATACAACATTAAAGTGCAAAACCACACTACAGGCTGATCCATCTTTGATGTAATGCCCTTTAAACAAAATGAGACTCAGTATTGTGTGTATAACACCTGGACATGCTCCATATGCTCCTGGTGGCGAATGGTCTCCTGAGGGATCTCCTCCCAGACCTGTATTAAAGAAGCTGCCAACTCCTGGACTGACTGTGGTGCACCGTGACGTTGGGGGATGGATCGAGACAGGATGTTCCAGATGTGCTCAATCGCTTTCAGGTCTGGGGAAAGGGCCAGTCCATAGCTTCAATGCCTTGTAGGAACTGCTGACACACTCCAGCCACATGAGGTCTTGCATTGTCCTTCATAAGGAGGAACCCAGGGCCAAACACACCAGCATATAGTCTCAGAAGAGGTCTGAGGTTATGCTACCTCCTGTGGGCACATGGAGGTCTGTGTGGCTTAGAGACTGACACAGGAGTGGATTTTCACTCCTGTCCCGTCCCACTCCAACAGAAAAAAAAATGTGTCCCATCCCGATCCCGGGCCAGAGTAGAAATCTAAATCCTGTCCCGTCCCACTCCTGGTGAAAATACTCCCACTCCCATCCTGCTCCCATTCAGAATGACTCCCGCTCCTGCACCACTCCCATTCTTGATGTCTTCAATAAGATTTCTGCCAATACATTGAATCTGAATTTCTATGAAGGGTCAGTTAAGTTCCTGTTTCTAACTGTAGTAACTGTTGGTCCCTCCATTGTTGTTTTTGAGCGCGGGTGAAAAACTCAGAGCGGAAGCACTGTTGGTTTTTGGGTCCTGTAGTTTTTTTGACTTGCATTATAGTGTAGGCTTCAAGAAAAAAAAATTCAGTACTGGCGGCGCCAGTATTGAATTTTTTTTCTATTTTAATTTATTTTTTGGCATAGCTCCTAGTTTTTTTCTAGGATCCCGTTAATGTTTAATCCTTTACCGTCCCAATCACGTGATCATTACTAATACTGACTCCCATCCCACAGGAAACCCGTGACCTGTGGGATTCCTGAAAAAAATTTCAGTCTCTAGTGTGGCCCTCCAAAGAAGTGCGACCCCACCCCCTTAATGACCACTGCCAAACCATCCATGTTGTTTCCAGACTATGTCACAATTTGCCAATCCTGGTGTGCCTCTGGTTTATGCCAAGCATCCTGCATGGTGTTGGGCTGTGAGCACAACCCACATCTGTGGACGTCAGGCCCTCATACCATCATCATGGAGTCAGTTTCTAACTGCTGGAGCTCATTTTTCAGGGCTCTGGCAGTGCTCCTCCTGTTCCTCTTTGCACAAAGGCGGAGGTAGCAGTCCTGCTGCTGGGTTGTTGCCCTCCACATCTGCTGGGGTACTGGCCTGTCTCCTGTTAGCTCTTCCATCCTTTAGACAGACACAGCTAACCTTCTTGCAACTGCTTGCATTGATGCGCCATCCTGGATGAGCTGCACCACCTGAGCCACTTACGTGGGTTGTAGAGTGTCATGATGGGTATCTGAATTAAGCCCAAAATGCAGAACACACACGGAAACTGGGTAAAAGTTCAACTGAGTTTATTGTGGAACACAAGCACACGATAAAGAATAAGTTCTGGAACAGGTTCAGGGCTGGTTCACTAAAGTCTTAACTGGGACTGGAGACTGTTGGTTAGCAGAGTTCATGGGAAGCTAAGCGTCTAGCTTCAGGCTTAGCATGGCAGACCTTGATCTGAGCTTCCAGCTCACTGCAGAGAACAACAGGGAATATCCACATAGGATTGCTCAGGCTGAGCTTCCAGCTCATTGCAGAGAACAAGAGGGAATATCCACATAGGAACCTTCAGGTTGGCTCACCAGGGCAGATTAGCAGGTTAAGCTCTCCTAGAGCTTCAGGCTTGAGACTGGTTTCCTGTGAGGCAGCTCTTCCTGAGCTTCAGACCAGAGACAGGTTTCCTGTGAGGCACAGACAAAGGAGAGATTAGAATCAGATCTCACACTAGGGACAACCAAGATTCAATCTGTAACTGAGGCTCAGGAAGCTAACCAACTAAGATCAACACTGCGGCATGGAAGCAAGGTCTGGCAGGAGCTTATAAAGGGGAGGTCTCCTGATGAGTGGATGGAAATCAGGTGTGCTGGAAGGTTCCAGCTCCAGAAGACCCACAGTGCACTCTGCTGGAGACAGAGGGTAATCTCCAGATCCCAACAGTAACTCCAGCCCTAAGGAGAAAATACAAAGAGCTGAAGAGAATCCTCGGCGCCCTCTGGTGGGCAAGCCTGAGGATCCCAACATAGAGTCCATTTCGTGCACAACAGCATGTGAAATTATTTGTCAATCACTATTGCTTCCTAAGTGCACAGTGATTTCACAGAAGTTTTATTTGACTTAAGTTATTTTGTGTTGTTTACATTCTCCCTTTATTTTTTTGCCCATTTTTGAGCAGTGTACATACATAGACGCATGTATTCATGCATCTGCCTGTCTGTCTGTCTGTCTGTCTGTCTATAAATGACATTTGTTAAAACAAACATATTTCAATTATTGCATTAACAAATATTGTATTGCCAGTGTAGGTACCTTGCTCTTTCTTATCACGGCATCATTAGGCAACTCCAGTGGGACAAACTGTATTACACCCGTTTCTTAAGAATCAGATCTCTACTGGGGTTTACCATATCATTACTCATATTTGTTATTGTTTTACATTTCATCTACAATCTAAAGCAGCCAAAACCAGAAACAATCATTCTCAGTCTTGAAGAAAATCCTTGCCTTCTAAGACAGACTGACCTCTGCCATTTAACAATGTGACACAAAAAGTGTCAGTACTTCGTTTTATTAAGACGTGAGGACAGGGGAGGAAAAAAAAAATCTTAAGAAATTACTTTCATAGACATATTATATTAATAGATTTGTACAAACAAAACAAATTTAAAACACGTTAACAAAAATGAATAACAATATGTTTCTTAAATTTAGTTGGCAACTAGAAAGAGTCCAGCAGTTTCAAGTTTTTCCAACATAAACATGTAGATTCTTTGTTTGTGTCAATATCTCTTTAAGTGTGTTTTTCTCCCTTGCTTTTCTCTGCAGGTCAGGTTCCAGTACGCTCTAGAGACTGTTTCAGGATTCATTCTTCCATATGCAGTTATCATAACCTGCTACGTCCTCACCCTGAGACGCTTGAGGCAGACCCAGTTCCAACGAATGATTCGCAGCGAAAAACTCATCCTCGCCATTGTTATAACATTTGGCGTATTTTGGTTCCCATACCACGTAATCAACATGGTGCAGGTGAATGAATCAGTTTTAACCTATAGTCAAACCAATGAGAACTTCTCTCAATTCTGCTCCTGCTTCTTGCTCTGATTAAAAACGGATTTGTGTCTCAAAGGTTGCAGCAGAGTGGTACAATGAGGGTTCAAGAACGAAAGAAGTGTGAGTAAAACAAGTTTTCTTGTACATACTTTTACTGCTCAGCAGTGGTGTCAAAAGTACACACATTTGTTACTTAAGTAGAAGTATAGATACTGCAGTTTAAAAGCACTCTGATGAAAGCTAAAGTATCAACTTGACCTCTTTACTCAAGTAAAAGTGAAAAAGTATTTGCTCCAAAAACTACTTAAAGTATAAAAGTATAAAGTAACCTTTAAAAAAAACAGCCAGATGCCACTTTATGAATTGAAAGCTCAAATTTTCAACTATTTCAAAAAAATGTAGGGCCTCGCCTGTGTCCGAACTTTCAGACATTTCAGCATCCAATATTGTTGCATGGCATACAGTAGACAATTCATGTTTGCAGTTTGAAGAACACCTGCTTGCTTCAGATGATTTCCTTTACCTAACCAATGAGTGTTTGCGTTATATGAGTCATCCAATCACACTAGTTTTCACTAGATGTTGGTGGCGCCAATGATCTGCTTGGGTGGCGCACATGACGTGAAATAAATATTTATAAACATTAAACTGAAGCCAAGAGTAACGAGTAACGTTTGTTTTTAAAAAGTAAGGAATAGAAAGTACAGATACTTGTGTGAAAATGTAATGAGTAGAAGTTGGAAGTAGTAAGAAAAATAAGAAATGGAGTAAAGTATAAATACCTAAAAAGTGTACTTAAGTCAAGTAACAAAGTATTTGTACTTCGTTACTTGACTATTAAAGGGAAACGCAGTTTTTTTTTTTATTGGGCCCTTGATTTTATGTTATTACATCGTGTTCTACTCACCTATATGAGTTTTGTGTCATTTGGAGCCGTTCTGAAGATATTCCGTTAGGTTGTATCCAAGTAACGTCTTCCTATGGGCAACGACTTGAAGGCACAAACTGAACTGTTCATAATTTATCATTTATGGTACGCCAGCATTCATAACATGTAGGCGAATCACTGTACCCCAGACATCCTCAGTTATATTATTTATATTTATATCTTTTAAAAACAAAGCGCCGTGTGTAGGATGTCGTCCGCCCACTGAACTGGAGTTGTGACAGGCAGCCTCGGGCCACAGGCGGCTACGCCTTACCCCTTCTATTCCATAAAAGTTAAAAAAACAATCCACTGGACTTGGTTTCCAAGACTTGAAGACGTTTCGCTTCCCCTCCAGGAAGCTTTCTCAATTCAAATGTTCAATGTTCTCAATTCACATTTGAATTGAGAAAGCTTCCTGGAGTGGTAGCGAAACGTCTTCAAATCTTGGAAACCAAGTCCAGTGGATTGTTTTTTTAACTTTTACGGAATGACTATGACCTGGATGGCTGAGAATCTTCATCAGCATGCCCCTTCTATTCATTCGACTAGGTAATTAGAATTGTTTTGGGGGACAGTGATTCGCCTACATGTTATCAATGCTGGCGTACCAAAAAGAATAAATTACGAACAGTTTAGTCGTTGCCCATAGGAAGACGTTACTTGGATATAACCCAACAGAATATCTTCAGAACGGCTCAAAATGACACAAAACTCATATGGGTGAGTAGAACATGATGTAATGACGTAAAATTAAGGGCCCAATGTAAAAAAAAACGGCGTTCCCCTTTAAGGAAAGAGTAATTTTTTTTTTTTTTTGCAGCAAGTGTATGGATCACCTTTCTGTTTTCTGACACTTTGAAAAGTTCCAAAAGGTTTCATTTAGTTGCACAAAATAAAGAGAGTAAGTAATATAAGATCAGCATTTATTTTACTAATTCGTTTGGTATCAGATAATAACTGTTTGGTGATATTGGTGACATTGAAAAACAAATTTTTGCAAGATTCTGAATGATTTTCATTTTCTTTGTCTGAAATCCCCTGACTCTTCTTTCCCAGATCTCTTACAAAATGACATTTTGTAATAGAATCGAGTGTCTTCATGCCAGGAGAGAAATTACATATCTATGCTTATTTGGAAATGTCGGGTAAAAAAAAGTGAGGGAAAGGTTTTCCTGAACCTTTACCCATTTTATTCAATTTATAGTAGGGTTGCCATGATACTAAAATGTTAAGGTCAATATGGATACCCAGGAAAATAATGACACTATCACATTCTATAACCTGAGGAATAAAAGAAGGACAAATATTTAAAGGCATCGTCATTCTCTTCCCCTTATTATCTGCAGAGAAACCTGCCACCCTGCAGAGAAAGATAATTTCAGTCGCCTGTAAACTGATCTTGCTCTTCCAATATATTCCATGGCCATAGGTGAGGGTAAGACTGAAGGCCATTTGGTAAAAAGCTCAGCTCTCTGTTAACCACAGCAGAGCTACATTATAGCAGCAACCACGCTGATCCATCTTTTGATCTCCTGATCCATTTTCCCCTCACTTGAGAACAGAACCTTAAAATAATTAAGGTCAACTTCTCCCCATTAATTAGGTAAGGCAGGTGTGCCATCTTGAAAATGGCAAACCAACTTTAGAATCATGGCATCAAACTTGGAGGAGCTGATCCTTGTCCTCGCTCCTTTATACTCAGCTGCAAACCGTCCCAGTGGACAACATAGATGTTTACAGGAGGGAGCCAATAGAAACACGTCACCTGCAAAAACCAAGGACTAAATCTGCTGGTCCCCAAACACCCTCTGGTCCTTGGCCCCGCTTAGAAATCCTGTCCTCAAAGGCTAAGAACAGGAGCAGTGACACAGACTAACATCTCCAGGTTGTTTGAGGTATTCTTTAAATGTAAAAACGATTCAACAATTCTAGAGTCAGTAACAAAACCACCGAAGCAGCACCTGTCTTTAGCATTGATACAATGCCAAAATATTATGGTTTAAGATAATAGACAAAATAAATGTGTCTTTTAATAAAATATCACAAAGATTAAAGAGAATGGTCCCTAATGCAGAGCCTGAGGAACTCCATTTGATACCGAAAGAGAAGAGGGAAAAGCTGGCTACCTACCTTCTCTCCCAGGGCAACTGTGGCTACTTGCCACCATCAACATATACTGTAGGAGCAACACATGTAATCAAGAAATACACAAGTGGAAAAAAACTAGAATGACACAACATGGAAATGAAACCAATGACAAAGAAAACACAGAATGACAGAAATCAAAGTGTAACTTAAACCCAAAAAGAAATCTTAAACAGAACCAAAAATGCAGAATCATGGCAGTCCTATTGAAGTACAGGTTATTTACCATTTCTAAGTTTCTAAAGAATCCAAGGGAACTGTCCTCAGTGTTCTTCATTCTTGCACTTAACAGTTTTCCTTTCTTTTCATCCCACAGGCTGGACAGCATTCATCAGTCCTGCCGAGCAGTGACCTCAGCTTTGGCTTTCATCAGCAGCTGCGCCAACCCTGTCCTTTATACTTTTGCTGGAAAGTCCTACATCAAGAAAAACGGCTTTGCCTTCATGGCTAAGCTCTTTGAAGGCACGTCGTCATCGGATCAATCAGCAAACAAAATGAGTCGTGTGATTAGCAAAGACAGTACGGGATATATTAAAAATGAGTCAATAAACAATGAAAGTATAAATATAGCAAATGGATCAAGCATCTAGCTAAAAGCACCAAATATACCTAAATGCATGTTTTCTGGTAGAAGACAAGTTACACTGTAAAGCCTTCAATTTTTAAACATTACCATAAATTACTACAGACTAAAACACACATATATATATATATATATATATATGTGCACGTGTGTCTGTGTGTGTTTACAAAATAAATGACGCTAAATTACCATTTAACTACCTTTAACCATACATCTCCTTTACTGAAAATGATAGAAAAACAATGCTGTCCCACTTTTGAACATAATATATGTAGCTCAACATGCACTTTAGATAATAAAAAAACTGGTAAAAATGTAATCTTGTAACATTATTAGACTATGGAGGTCTGCTTTTGAAAAAGTGTTCTTAGACTGCATGGATTCGCACATTTGCTGAAAAGAGTTTTACTAAGCTGATCTGTTGATCTATCCAGGAAGTGGTGCACCTAAACATCAAAGCTTTGGTCCAGCTAAGGCTGTTAACAACAAAATTACTTGCTAAGAAAAAAAAAAAGCGTGTAATCTTATTTAGAATTCAGAATAAACTGGCTTATGTTGAAAGTTTTAATCTTAGTCTTAAACTTCAGAGGAGAGTACCCCGAGAACATAAACAAATCTGTAACTTTACTTTAGGAAACTGATATGATTCTCTGAAAAAATAAAAGTATTAAAAACAGAAGAAAAAGAAATGGAGGAAGAATGTGCTTTCTTTTGATCTGATCGATTTTAAACAATGTTTCTGAAAAGAAACAGAACAACTTAAAGACAAATTAATAGTGGTATTCCGGCCAATTAACCTAATTAAGTTGGAACACCACAACTGATGTTTAAAATTGACTTCAAAAGTTCAATGATTTAAAAAAATCTACTAAATAAAGTCGAAAAGTCTATTTTCAGAATTTAATTTAAACAAGCATACTATATCTAAATGTGTTCATTGTGTATCAGTGCTTTTTCTAAACAAAACAATACTCTAAATAAATAAGATTGTTTTGCTCTTTGGTTTATCTTTCATGGAAAGAGGTAAACAAAACATAAAAGCTTGTCTGTGATAAAGTTCTGAGTCCTCATGGTAATTTTTATTATTATAATTTCCACCTTGTATACTCCCACTTAACACTGTTTCACATTACCTTGTTTTTTGTTTTATTTTTCTTTAAAGAATTTTGTTCTATACGACCACACGTATGTGAACTTACAATTTTTCATTCATCATTAGCAACAATATTGGACCTTAAATCAGACATGAATGTGAAGTCTAGGTGGGCAAAATTAGGATGTTTTAATCCTTGAGGCCCACAAGCAGTAAAAACAAATGATTTTCATAACCTTAGATAGAAATATAAGTTGTACATATCTAAACTGTATGCACAAATATAAAATTATTGCAACCAAATGCAGAAAATTCCTCTTCAACATTTGTAAACCTACACCCCACATGGTTTCAAAAGAGTCAGTGTTAAATTCAGATACTACACAGATATATAAAACTGTAGGCAATACACTGTACAAAAGTTAAGAAGTCAGAAAACGATGCCATCAATATAATATAACGCTCCAGCAGTGTAACGTATCATTTCTTTGCATGATATTAGAAATTTACAATGAAAATAATAAAAGTATATACGTTAATGTAAAAGCTGGTATTTAGTGGGTCAGCCTTTTAACACAAGTCAACATAGAGAATCGAAGGGGCTGCATCTCTCTCTCTCTCTCTCTCTCTCTCTCTCTCTCTATATATATATATATATATATATATATATATATATATATATATATATAATATATATATAAAAAAATATATATATAAATAAAACACTACCGTTATTTTTTATATTGTTAGTACATAATTCCATTGTATTTTAAGAAAATGTTTTTACAGTGTATTACTTCTTGTGTTTGCATTAAAAATTGCACTGTGTCCGCCTCTCCTATGTAATTTTGTTTTTTAATTATTTGCTACAATTTCCTTAAATCAATAAATAAAACATGTTTTTTTAAGATAACGCTGTCTGTCTAAAGTCTTCTCAACTGGAGAGAAGGTTATTTTGGTTTAGCGATCTTTTTGTCATTCATTTATCAGTGAGATACTTTGGACAGAAACATAACCTTTGACAGCGAACACTGACCTCTGAATCAATGTCTAAGATGTCAGCTATTCATAGAAAATAAATTGGACCTACGATATTCACCAACAAACAAAATACAGGATGTTGAAAAAGCAGTTCCAAGCAAGGTGTTAGTCCAAGTCGCTCTGATGCTGAGGCGTTGCCAGAAAGTTTTTATAAGGGTGGCCAGGCAAAAACCAATGAACACTGAGGGGTGCCCGAAAGTGGATAGGCACCAGAACCTCAGGGTCAATCTACCCTGTTCCAAAAGGAAAATTAACAAGCACAACATCCATAACTATACTTTCCTACAGCCTTTGCTAACAAATAGACGCATATATTTAAACATCTGCGCTTTCTAGATAAAATATATAGTGGGTTAAATTCTTTCAGGTTTGAGTTCTGGGGTGGACATCTTTTCTATTGTCATTACTTACCTACTTTTATCAATAATCATTCTGCATAAAATGTATATTTACAAGTACTAATATCTACATAAACTGATTGCTTAATAAGTTTTTATTAAAATGGTTATTTATCTATGATTTCACTGAAGACTCCTAAATGACTTGCAGAGAGACATAATTCTCTCTTTACCCCATAAAACACAAAATCTAGTTCTGAAAAGAGCATGAATTCTGTACTTATCATCTTTAATGTTAGTATATTGTTGTGTACTGTATAATTAACCAAAGTGCATTTTGTTGTCAATCAATTGTTACTATATGAAAAATTTAAATGTTTTAAATATTCCACTTCAGATTATCACTGCTGTCACCATCTGTATTAGAGGGAAAAAATTGGTAGTGGTGGCCACATGGGTGGCCAGTGATTAGCTAAGGGTGGCCATGGCCACCCCTGGCCCCTCATCTAGCTCCGCCCCTGCTCTGATGCAGTCGTGGTTCTTGCCTGAATGGCATTCAATGCCATTTCTGTTCCCCTTTGATAAAAAAAATGCAAGTTTTCTGAGACTGAGCTGAGATAAAATCTTGTGAACAGTTTTCATATTCCAAGAAGACACCAAAGGGTGCAGACTGATAACAGAGAGGTGCGGACTTCCCATCTATGTGTAAGAGACAATGCAAACCTGCTCCAGTTCCACCAGATTTCTTCTTTCCTCTCGTCGCTGGTCCAAACCTGATGGCACCCTGGGCAGTTTGTATCAATACCATCTCTGCTCCAAAGCCTCTTTTAAAGCATTTTGTCTGAGGACATAAAAAAGTACCTTAAGTCCACTTGTTGCTGCTTTAAATTGATCTAGAGAAATTCCAGCACACAACCTTTTCCACAGTCAATATAATATTTGACCAATATAATGACAGCAGTTATTTTAGCATGGTTGTACTAAAAAATAAATAAATAAACTAAAATGTCTAAGAAATCTAAAAAAAAAAATCCAATTGGCCTTTACAAAAACATGAGGCTATGGGTGCAACAGTTGTTATAAAATGTTGCTCAGCCAGGTTTACATTAAACTATCCCTGAACCATCCTAGCCTGAAGCTTTTCAGCTCCAGATAGAATTGGAAAAGACATTAAAAGGTTGTCAAATGCACCACAAAGCAGCACTCAACATTTCCATTAGTACCTTTATTATTGATGCATTTCTCATCAGCTGAAAAATAACAGCGAACACCATTCAATTAAGGAGAAAGGATTGGCACTTATCTAACACAGATGCGATTTAAATGAAGCTGTGCCAGCTAGCAAACCTTATGGACCAAAACATTTACATTAAACATCTTTTTGACTAGTTTCATTATGATGGGGCAGTGTATTTCCCATCTAATTCTCAGATATAAATACATTTTAAACAAAAACGTGGACAAAATATTCAGAGTACATGTGTCGGCCAATGACTCATCTGCTAATGCAATGATGGTGGTGAGCCATGCAGGCTACTTTTGAGCGTAATCTAAACCACTGAAAAATTACGAGCTAGGGAATAATAGACAAACATCTCTTCAAATGTTTCCTGTCAGAAGAGATATTTCCAAGTGATTAAAGCTGCTGTGCAAAGACAGGTTTTAGGTCTGGGTATATGAATGTGTGTGAAAACTAGTAAAGTTTATTGGCCTCAAAAACTTACCTAAGACTTATTGAACACATAAAAAAGTGTAAAAATGTTAATAACCGATTTTTTTAAGCTATATTTACCTCCAGCCTGAGAGTTACAGCCCCCCTGAGACGTCAAAAGCTATGAGATATTTAGAAATGATATTTAGAAATTTATATATGTATGTATATGTATATATATATATATATATATATATATATATATATATATATATATATATATATATATATATATATATATATATATATATATATATAACCTATTTTCTCACTCCTCGTGGGGTGGTATGTGTCATCCTCAAGCTCGGATCCTCTACCAGAGGCCTGGGAGTTTGAGGGTTCTGCGCAGCATCTTAGCTGTTCCTAGGACTGCGCTCTTCTGGACAGAGACCTCTGATGTCTTACCTGGAATCTGCTGTGCTATAATTACCACTGGCACCACTGCTGCTCTTACTTTCCACATCTTTTCTAGCTCCTCCTTCAGCCCTTGCTATTTCTCAAGCTTCTCGTGTTCTTTCTTCTTGATGTTGCTGTCACTTGGGATTGCCACATCTATCACTACTGCCTTCTTCTGCTGTTTGTCGATCAACACGATGTCTGGTTGGTTAGCCATCTCCTGTTTGTCAGTCTGGATCTTGAAGTCCCATAGGATCTTAGCTTGGTCATTCTCAACTATCTTAAGAGGTGTCTTCCATTTTGACCTTGGGACTTCCAGCCCATACTCATGGCAGATGTTCCTGAACACTATGACAGCTACCTGGTTATGGCGTTCCATGTATGCACTTCCTGCCTGCATTTTACACCCTGCTGTTATGTGCTGTATTGTTTCAGAGGCATCTTTGCACAGTCTGCATCGGGGGTCCTGCCTGGTGTGGTAGACCCTGGCCTCTATTGATCTTGTACTGAGTGCCTGTTCTGGTGCTGCCATGATTAGTGCCTCTGTGCTGTCCTTCAGTCCAGCCTTTTCCAGCCACTGGTAGGATTTTTTGATATCGGCCACTTCTTCTATTTGTCTGTGGTATACGCCGTGCAGCGGCTTGTCCCTCCATGATGGTTCTACTTCATCTTTCTGGTCATCACTTTCAATTTTCTACTGCCTGAGGTATTAGCCAAGACATTTGTCTTTGGGGGCTATCTTCCTGATGTACTCCTGGCAGAGGTGGGCGGATCGATCCCAGGATCGATACTATCGATACCAACGCTGGTATTTATATTGAACAATATTCGTTTAACAAGATCGATACTTTTTATCCTCTCTCGCGCGCGCTGACTGCTGCGGAGTCACCAGTTTCCCCATATGTGTTACAGCACTTTGCTCCCCCTCCCCTCTCCTACAGTCACATGGCTCAGCGGCGCCAGCCAATCAGCGCGCAGGCTTAGCTTGGCCTGCCCACTCAGCACTACGTCACACAGACAACCGCGCTGCCGGTTGCTGGGTGAGTGCTCACTCAGACTTGGATGGAGAGAGAGACCAAAGACCCGCCTCCAGCCTCAGACAGACATCTTTGACCCAAGCGTTTCAGTCCTCCAGAGAATATCCAGGTAGATAACAGTGGTCATCGTCTGCAGCACTTCATTATACATCATATATTACTCAGAAAGTGTAGTTAAGACCTTGAAAAAACCCAGTACATTTATCCCATTAAAAATTGTTAGCTAAAATAAGCTAACATTAGATAATCTCTTATTTATTCCACGATTGAGAACTTTATAGAAAAAAAGCAACAGGCAAGTGCAGCTTAAATGTAAAAAGTATCGGTATCGGTATCGATATCGGCGATACTGACCCAGTATTTACTTGGTATCGGATCGATTAAAAAATCCCGGTATCGCCCACCTCTAACTCCTGGATCTTAGCTGTTTCATCTTGGACAGTGATCTTGACACTCACTAGCCCTCAGCCTATATATACATATATATCTATATATATATATATATATATATATATATATATATATATATATATATATATATATATATATATATATCTATATATATATATATATATATATATATATATATATATATATATATATATATATATATACATATAGATACATAAATTAAATCTATAGGTTTGATAGTGAAATATGAATGTATTTGTTTTCTTCAAATTTATTGTTCAATGTTACATATTTGGGAGTTGTTCATGTATTCAGTCATTACGTGATTAATTCTTCCCAGTTTATTCATCTGCTATTTGCTCTTATTTCTAAAGACTTTCTAACATCTGCCCCATATAATCTGTACAGGACACTGACCTCAGCACAAGAATGTCGAAAAAAAAAAGATACTATAGAAAAATCAATTATAGAGTTGTTCTGTTAGTACACTGGCGTCCAGTCCTTATCCAGGGTGCAGTTCCGTGTGTACTATTTCTATCCTCCTCCGTCGTGTAGCTTTTTACGTCACTTTCGTACCGGAAGTGAGATGTGGCTACGTGTCAGGAAAAGTCTATTCGGCTAAATGGGCGAAGGCGACCAGGCCGTCTGAGATAAACTCTGCAATAATTGAATTCTTTCTATTGCTAAATTTGGATCGATTTTTACTACGTTTGAAAATTAAAAGCTGGATATTTGAACAGCGACGATGTTAACAAAATTTGAAACAAAGTCAGCCCGTGTCAAAGGTAAGCCTGCTAACAACAGTTAGCTTATATGCTAGCCCTTAAACGGCAGACGTTGCTTTTGCCAACTGTTTTATAGATAAAAGTCAATTGTATATAAAAATGCACATGCTTTGTTTTAAGTAACGGTGTTTTTTTTTTCTTTTGTATTAGTTTGTGTAAAGATTGGGTGTTGCGAATTACATGTCGGCGTAGCTAACGTTAGCATAACTGTTTGATCAGGTTATTGGTTATACTTGATGTTTTTGGGTATATTTTAGGTCTCAGCTTCCACCCCAAAAGGCCATGGGTTCTGGCAAGTTTGCACAACGGTGTCATCCAGCTGTGGGACTACCGGATGTGCACACTGATCGACAAATTTGATGAGCACGATGGTAATTTAGTGGTTGTTTTTATATAGAGTTTATGTATTGTTTTTTTTTTCTGATGGAGCTGAAATTAATTTAATGTCATATTCACTACAGGTCCCGTCAGAGGAATTGATTTCCACAAGCAGCAGCCTCTCTTTGTCTCCGGAGGAGATGACTACAAGATTAAGGTGAAGGACATGAAACACAACTAGCATGAAATGTGTGCAGTTAACATGTTGGATGCAGTGTATTTATTTCTGTCATTGTGTTGTTTTCCTCTGCAGCTTCTAACATTACATGTATTTTTCCAACCAGGTGTGGAACTACAAGCTGAGACGTTGTCTCTTTACCCTTTTGGGGCACCTGGATTACATCAGGACCACCTTCTTTCATCATGTGAGTTTCTATAAAGCTTCACAATAGGCTTGGCCCTGATGTCAGCCTGTCACTATTTTTTTTTGCACCAGTGGTCTTTTGCACCTGGCATTTTTAAAGACTGATTTATTGCTCTTTCACTGGTATTTACTGCTTGTTAATTGGTCCTCCTATTTGGGAGGTTTTGTATCCCTTTTAATAAAACATATTTTATGCAGTTTTCTGTTTTAAAAAGGTATAGATGCATGGCTTGCAAATATAAACTCTAGTTTAAGGCTGCCCCCAATTAATATTGTTTAATAGAGTTTCATGTTATAAGATTAAGGATGACTAAGGGAGAATCAGAGCCGCAAACAATGGCAAAAGGATCCAACTCAAAATTATTCTTTGAAAAGGGCATTTTAATTGTATGAGAGATTATTCCTCTATATTTTATAAAAACGCATAATTTTCTAGTTGAGCTGATAAAAGGTGTTTAGATTTAGGGTTTCCTAGCAGAAAATTGCCAAAGCCCAGTGGAGGGTGTCGCTAGGCTAGCCAATTGGTGGCCTAATCGTGTTTGTCAAAATGTTAAAAAGTAGACTGGAAATTTATAAATATGTAAACTATAGAGTCCTAAAAAAAAAAACATACTTTTTTAAATTGTTTGTTTTTCTTTAAACGATAAGATATTATACGTATTGTCTTGTCTCCTTAAACCCCAGTCGGCCTCAGCAGATGGTCGCTTACTCTGAGTCTGGTTCTATTTGAGGTCTCTTCCTGTTAAAAGGGAGTTTTTCCTCTCCACTGTCGCTACAAGTATGCTTAGTGTAAGGGATTGCCTTTGAGTCAATGAGTCGATGCAATCAACTGGTTTTCCTTAGAAAGAAAATCTTTGAATCAATTTGACTGCATGATCTGGTTGGATTGTGTCTGTAAAGTACCTTGAGATGACATGTGTCGCGAATTGACAATATATAAATAAACTGAATTTAATCGTTTGCACTCAAGTTGAATACTGATCAAGTAATCAGCCGGAGATTGTCACCAGCCCCACCGCAACTCTGTCAGAGAAAAATGGAGAAGATGGGTGAAATAAAACAAGTTCCATATCCACATCTAAGTCTTTTTAAAATAAAACTATAAAATCAACAAGTATTACCAGACTTTCATACGTTGGGTGATTTAAGAAACCTAGAACATAAAAAAACATGATATATGTTTAATTTTAGTGTAATATATTGTTACACTTATAGGCAATTTCATCTAAAGAGCAAAGGCTGATTGTGTGTCGCAGTGAACGCAGATAAGCGTATATATGAATATATTTAAAATGTATTTGGGTTTTTATGATAAATATTTACAAAATAGAGTAGATGAATTATAAATTGTTGGTGTTTTAACCTACAATTTAATGTTAGTGGCATTTAAGGCTGATTTATAGTCAGAAACCAGGTCGTCTGCATGTGTGCCGCAGTAAACGCAGATATGCCCCGCCCCTTCCGCAGATACTCTGCTGCACCTCTCCAAAATTGTAGGTGACTGCAGACAGGAGGCCCCTGATTGGTCAAATCTACATCCGCTCTACACTAAAGCATATTTCCTGTTTGGTACCTTACTGGCTTGGTTTGTATGACCGCCATTGCGGAATAACGACTCGTGAAGATGGACCAGCTAGAAGAGCGAGGTGCTCGAGAACGATGGGACCTTTTTTCCACCTGGATCCCCGCTCTTTTTCACTCTCATCCTCCTCCGTTGTCGGACAAACTTGCCCCCACTTCCTCACCGCCTCGGCCATATCTAGACCCACAGCTAGTTTCTGATTGTCCCTCTTGCATTGTGGTGTGGAATAACATAGCGCTGACCACGCTTCAAAATTGGGAATAAATCAGAAATATCTTTGTAAAGCTCACTTAGACACACTGCTGCTGGAGGATAACCAGCCTTTAAATGATCCTTGGACTGTATGCTGGGAGTGGGTGCTTTAACCCATTTAGGCCTAAAACGCCTGGAAAAAACACCTTAAAAACCTATGGCCGATTTTAAAAAATACCCCTAAAACCTGAAGTTTTTCTGTAAATTCAGCAACTGTGTCAACGCCTAGTAAATTATTGATATCTCAGCTTCTGTAGCAGATAGAACTCAAAATATATTTTATCTTTGAAATTCTTCCAAAAAAAAAAGTGAAAAGCAGTAATAAAAAAATAAAAAATTCAACCTTTATTTTTTCCATATGTGATCATGTCTTCATTGAGAATGTGCAATATAAAACGTTTTTAAAATAAAGAACAAACATTACATAAATAACTATCTGATGATTACTTATTAACAGTATTATTATGCATAATAATGCATATGTCTGTGTTATAAATTGCATACAACTTACCTCCAGATGGCCACAAATCTGTCCCGGGACATATTTTGGCGGAACTGCGTCCTGAAGAGAGGTTTACTCTGTCGCCAATAATCTCTTCGTACTGGCAACACAAGAAGTCCTATGCCCATACACAGCCCAATAAATGTCTTCATCTCCGTCACAGTCACGGGTGACCACTTTGCCATCTTTGCTCTTGTTGGAGTTTGGTTTGTTTGGTCACTGTACCTATTCGTCTCGGTAACAAGATGCATCCAAAGTTCTTCATTAAAAATATGCTCAAATGCCTGCAGCGGTGTGGTGTCTGCAGGCAAATCAACTTTCACTCCAGGTGTGCGGTTGAAAACACTCCGTGCATTGCGGTGGTAGTTCGATTGGTTCAGCGCGTTCAAAGTCATCATTTTCATCTATACCGTCATCAAAGCCGACACACTCCTCAAAATCACTGCCTTCCGACATCTCTTCTCTGTCAAACTCCTCCATGTTTGCTTGAAAAAAACTTCTTTCTTCTTGCTTGACTTATATGCTCTCCCGGCGTCAATGGTAGAATTACGCAACAGCGCCCCCGGCTTGAATGGTAGAAATGCGGTAATGCTTTCCCGGCCTAAATGGGTTAAGCCCAACAAAACATTTCAGAAACTGAAACTATAAAACAGAGGGACTGAATGTTGAATTTATTCTGATTGCTGATTACATGCTTTAATTCCGTTTTGCTTAAAGGAAAAGCGTGTCACAGGCACATTAAAGCAGGGTTGAAACAAATAGTTGGAGAAAAGAAGGGGCTGTACCAAGATTTTAGTAAATGGACCACAATTCAAGACACTCAATGTAGTTAAAAAGCAATTACTGTCCAGCCGAAAAAATATTCAGGAGTGAATGAATATGATCATGGCATGAAAACAATATAGTCAATAATCAGATCTAAATAAATAAAAATAGAAACACAAAAATGAGAGAAATGGTCATTGAAAATGAAAGATACTAGTGAGCTGCTCTAGGGCTGCTTCGGGGAAAGACTCTCTGCGGTAGAATTATGGGGTTTGTTTTACTGAGGTTTCATAAATATCTCCACTGTGAGATTCATAAAGTCCATCAATCATTTCACGGTTGCATTTTTCCTCTAGGAATATCCCTGGATTCTGAGTGCCTCAGATGATCAGACCATCCGCATCTGGAACTGGCAGTCGAGGACCTGTGTATGGTAAGAAAATTATACATGATTCTGTTATTCAGCTGTTGGCTATAAAGCTCAGACGTAGTGTTAACATGAGACAATCAGGACAACTGCTCTTTAACAAGAATTTATCTTTGAAAAAGGCTGAAATTTTCCAGACAAAACTTTTTCTTCTTATTGCTATATCAGCATAGCCTAGTAAACTAGCCCCACCCACCAGTGGCCAAAATCTTTTTTGCCTGCGAGTGGTCTAGCCTAGATCAATGCCCCAGGCCCTAGAACCGGTGGGCCAATCACAACGCAGAGATGTTTTGAATTTTTGGATGCAAAGTAGGCGGGGTTTTAAAGGCGTGACGACAAAGCTGCACACTGCTGGAGAAAGCACAACAACTATTGAACAGTAGCATGCACTGCAGCAGCAGCAGCTTTCAATGGAGCGCTCCATTGAAAGTTCAAAGTTCTCTTTTCTGTTGCTGTTGTTCAATAAAAGTACGTTTTAAGATCATTTGAGGCGAGAATATTATACTTTAAAGCATTACTATCTGTCCCATTTACCAATTTAATGCGTAATTAAAATAACAATTTCTGAAGTTGAGAGGACTGCGGCAACCAGCGGACCTCCGATGCTAACCGCAGCCCGTCTGCAGCGGCCCTCTCGGCATTGAGTGAACGACCGCTGGCTCTGATGGCGATTTTCTACTCAGCTTTGGAATCAGGTTTGGAAGGATTAGACTTGGGGTTTTCGTTGAAATGTGAGCAGGTAGAGGCTCTACGCTCATTCATTTTAAGAAGGATGTATTCGCTGATTTACCGACAGGCTGTTTGTTTACACTCCCCCACCAGCTTTCTATCGCGCTTACTACGTCAGTCAGTTGCGCTCATTGGTCAGAGCGTTGGCCAATAGGCACAGACATGGTTTGAAAAACAACGGGTTGTTCTCATCAACAATCTTCTGATGTCTCATTCATTGTGGCCAGACTAAATTACACATTTAATATCACATTTAGTCTGGTTTATCAGGCTAATATCAGCCATATTGCTGAGAACTCCTTCATACCTGCAGATTGATGACCTTAAAACAAATAATAAATGGTCAATGAAGCATGAAAGGTTCATTTTATTTTCTCCTCTGTCGCCTACAGCGTCCTGACGGGACATAATCACTACGTGATGTGTGCCCAGTTCCATCCATCCGAAGACCTGGTGGTGTCTGCCAGTCTGGACCAGACCGTGCGAGTGTGGGATATCTCCGGTGAGGGCCTGGGAGGAAAGGAACAGAGTGGGCAGTGGGCTGGTTTTTGGGGAGGAGGGGTTGGAGACTGAGTGTTTCAGAGGATGAGAAAGGAACGGGATTCTCTCTAATGTATGAAGACTAAATGCCTGTGTTCTTTTTGTTTTGCAGAAACATTTCTCCTTTCAGCAAACAAATTAAAATATAATACAAAAATTTTTTGAACCTATATATGATATATTTATAAGTTAAAGGTGCTTTAGGAGATCTTGGAAAAACGGTTCCAGCAAGCTATATTTTTGAACATACACAACCATGCCTCTCCCTTCAGACCACCCCTCCAAAGCACATGAGCGTGCATGCTGTCTGCAGCGCGTCTAGAGCAGCTGCTGGCAAGGAGACGGGCAGCACTGATGATGCAGAGCGCTATGATCGCTCCTCCGAAATAGTGTACCGCCTAAATTACCTTACAATGCCGAAATCTGCCTGCAAAACATGTTTGCTTTTATTAGCCTGGTGCCTGCAGTTTGGATTACATACAGGAAAAACGCCTTGCAGCCGCCTCGTTGAACCGCGAGGAGGTGACCAGACCATAGGCTGCTGTTGAATGGGATTCCTAGTGATTCCTGAGCGCCTCCGACAGAAATAATATTTGAAGGGAGGATGGTAATCTGGATGAACTGACTGCACTGACGATGTTTTCAGGTGGACTTTCTCACTTTGAAATAGATTCTAAGTACTTTTTACCCACTGATCACAGCAAATATAGCTGCCATTGTTACAGGCAAAGAAAGGATAGGGTAGCTCCGCCCAACGCGCATCAGACTCAATTTTTTCCAGCACGCAGCCAGAGCAGCAAAGATGCTTCAGCTGTGCATCAGAACTAAACTTGTTAAAGCATAAAAAATGAAGCAGCACGAGCCTTTTTGCTGTTTTAGCTGTGAGCGTAGCATAACAGTGGCTAGCTTCCAGCCATGGCGTCCTGCATGAGCATTGGGGGGTTTATTCGTTCACGTGTCAAGATACGCGTACGGGGGGAGGGATTGCCGTGTCAGAAACCAATCATGTACAATAGACCGTCTTCTGTGATTGGTTGGGGTTATTCATTGATTTCTAACTGTAGCGGGGACCATTTATTTTAGTTTCACTTCCAGACCTTCTATTTCACCTCTTGCTAATCGGCTGTGGGGAGATCTTTAAGCCACATGGTAAAAAATGCATCAGAAAAGATCTCCTACTGCACCTTGAAAGGCTGTCATTGATCTTTGATCTTTGCAGCACATTTTATCAGTTGTGGACCGGGAGAAGTGTTTCTGTACCTTTGCATGCTCCATATACCTTTTTGCTTTCTTATTTCCTGTTTACACTAACTAAACAAGCTCTCGTCTCTCATCATCTTTAATTTCCAGACCTGTAAAGATGTAGATCTATGACCCTTACATGTTTCAGTCCTTTGTAGTTTCCTGTATCTGTTTAATTTGCATCCATATGCATAGTATTTACCTATTAAATGCATGATGTTGCTGCAGCTGAAAGCGTATTTCCACTGAATGTGCAGCCAGGTTTTGCTTACAGAAAGCTTAACTCCCTCTTACTGACAGTCTGTGCTGCTGACTTGCAACAGTTTAAACTGCTTTGTATTCCTTTTAAATCCTGACTACTAATTGGGTCGAATTCCCATTTTTGATAATGTATAAATTTCTACTATAAATTAGGTTTGCATGCAGAGATTTGACTCTACTTTGAAAAATTCCTACTTTTACAATATTACCATTAATACTACTCACAGCTGCACATTACTAGAACTTCCCAATATCATTGATGCTGCATGTGACTAAAACAAGCATGAGCCTTTCTACCAGACCAGCCATCATCCTCAGATTCCCGGCGTTCATTGCCTGTCAGAGCACATCCTGTCAGTGCCGCCAACCACCCATCTATCCGCCCCACCCAACCCAACCCCTGTCAGCTTAGTCCACACACTCTGTCATCCTTGTCCCATGCTCTTCCAGGAAACATCCATGCCTGCACATGGGTTCCTAGTGTCATTTCCTCTCTGCTCTCAAAGCTGTTGAGCTGTCTGTTCACCACATAATCTTAACCGACTGAAATCATTAATACAATCTCGGTTGGCTGTTTCCTTTGAGCCTTGGATGTGTCGTCCAATCAAATTGCAAATCATTTTCTGTAGCAACCCAATCAATAGTGTTGGTGTGGTCATTTCCAGGATTTAGAAAGCCAAAGGTTGTGTTGGTGCTTTTCGTCCCTGTGTGTGTTCAGCAGTCCAACGGTTTAAACTTTTTCACTATCTTTACTTTTTATTACAGTGCTTGTGTTTTTGGCGTTTCTCTATCATTTCTTTTCTTTTGGTTTGTTTATTCTCGTGCCCTCCCCTGTACCATAATTGCACCCTTTAACATGAAAATGGCTTTTCCCTCCTTGCACGCAATGCTCTGAATGATGGTTCCAGGTCTCAGGAAGAAGAATCTGTCTCCGGGCGCCGTGGAGACTGACGTGCGCGGCATCACAGGCGTTGACCTGTTCGGTGGCTCCGATGCTGTTGTGAAGCACGTCCTTGAGGTAAAATCAGCAATTTTCACTCAGCAGATTTATGATTGATTAAGTAATCTGGAATAATTTGAAATAATTTATTAGCTTTTTTAGTAAATATACTTTAATTACATATGCAACAAAATATTTCTAACCTATAAGGAAACGAGAAATGTTATTATGATTAGGACCCAGATTGTATTTAAGAATTTAAATATTAAAGCAGTTCCCTTACAAACAGTCTTCATTATTCAAATGCAATGAACATGGTTTTCTTAGTTTGTTTTTGTGCCTATTTTACTTTAATTAAGGGCATTTAGAGTGATATAAGATTCGTCATAGTCCTGCATTTCACTAGTGCTGATGCTAATGAGGTAATGAAAAATACAGAAGCTTAGATACTGTTCTAAACTTCTTTCTTCTAAGCAAAATAGATCTGTATTTTTATTTTTTCAAAGGCAATTTGTTCTGAAATTATATCTTGAAGACATCCTTTATTTTTAGTTTCCTGCATCTCTTGGTTTAGTTTTTAGATAACTTGCTCTTTGTCAAAGGAGACCTGGTTTAAAAGTTACAAAATATTACACAAAACATTATATAAAAATAGAATCGAACGATTACAAAAAGCATTTAGTAAATGTTAAAACGGTTAAAATAAGTCATGTCTCTGGCCATGAATCAATCTGTAAACATACGTGGGAAGATCCAGCTGATTCTTTGCTGAATGTGCCGCCAACTGGGACTAAGTGGGGAAAAATCATTTTTTTTCTTCACCTTGGTGCGAACATTAAGCACAGAGAGCAAGAACTGATAACTGGAGTGGCAAGGAGAGCTTTGTGCTCTTTTTGTCATTTCATTATTTATTTACATCATTGTCATTAGTCAATGATGTGAACTTATTCTCATATTTGTGAAGAAAGTGAAGCACAAAAGTATAAAATATCACAATATCCAACACTGAGAAAAAGAGGCAGCAACTAGTTGCTTTTTTTTGCATTAAAAGACAAAACTGTTTATTAGGATGAAAAAAAAAATCTGAACTATTTTAGTCTAAACTTTTTTCGATAGTGAGTAAATCATTAGTAAGTTACCCATATCATCTATGCAGGATTATGATCCTACAAACATTTACTCTTGTTCGGATCATCTTCATATATTACCGTAACTTTCTGACTATAAGCTGCACCTGAATATAAGCCCTAGAAGCTAAATTGCATGATTTGTACATATACAAGCCGCACCGGACTATAAGCCGCAGGTTTTTTTTATGTTTAATTACCATATGATTCGTGCACAGAGAGGATTGTTGGGAAAGAGGCAACTGTTTGGGGAAGCTCTTATTTATTAACATTTCAACACAATTGAATTGAGACAATTCTTCTTGCTGGCGTCTCCGTCTCACCATTGACTCGTTGAGTCTAAGGTTATGTGCAGCGGTTCTATTTCCTTCGTTTACTGCCAAATTGACTGCCTTTAACCTAAAAGCGTCATCATATGCGTTTCAACGTTTGTTTTCCATAATGAGGGTGTCACACAAACTGTCTTGCGCTCGCAATGTCCGTCTTTCTTGGAGTCTGCTTCCGGAGGTACCATATTACCCTAGTGGCCGTTAGCTGTAAAAGTCAATAGATAAGCCGCATTGTTATATAAGCCGCAAGGTCGAAAAATGGGGAAAAAGTCACGGCTTATAGTCCAAAAATTACGGTAGCTTAAAACCAGATCTGGGCTTCAATGTTTTGAGACTCATTTTAAAATGACTTACAAACAAATGAGGGCATTATAGATCACAAATTGCTTTTAAGAAATAATATTTGACATAGGCTGATACGGCTAAATCTAAGTCTAACCTGATTTAAGTTGGTTCAGATTCCTTAAAGGCAGAGAAATAGTCCCTTATATCCCTAGAAGTGAACTTGATGTTTTTGTTTTCTGAACTTGAGTGAAAATCTAAACCTCTGGTTTAATGGGGGGCAGCAGTGAGGAAAAGCCACCATTGCTTTTGCTTCTTAAATTATGCATTATTTAGGATAATGTTAAAGGTAGATTTTGGTCTGCACCTTGAAGCTTTCTGTCTCTGGTTTGTTTTTGGTAAGAGATCACTTGGGGGAAACTCTTTAAATAACATTTCATATTAAATAACCAGGAGACAAGACAACAGATTTTGATGATTAGATCAGAGAAGTTGCTTATGATTACAGAAGGCAGCAGCTTATCATCCGTGCTCACTTCTCGTTAAGTGGCCCCAATTAACAGCTAAAGAAGCATTTTATATATCTCCCGTCACATTGTACATCATACACGTTTGTAGATGAGGAGATACCATTATCAAAATATTACTTTGTTCTTAGCTGAAGGACACCACTCATTCCATTTCCAAATATTTGCCACGTACAGAACAAAGATTATAACTGTATATAGACGGACTGAGGAACTGGCCTAATTAGATAAACTACTGGGGAAAATATAAGTTATAACACTTAAAAGGCAGCTAATATTAAGGTGTAATAAACTCGCACATCATCGATTATAATTATCCTCACAATAATTTTGTATATGTCTATTTACAGGGACACGACCGTGGGGTCAACTGGGCTGCTTTCCACCCCAGCATGCCCCTCATCGTGTCTGGAGCTGACGACCGGCAGGTCAAGATCTGGAGAATGAACGGTGAGCCATTCAACAGGGGTTACTTTAGTCCCTTCCTGCAAAGATCCTCTCTTCCACAGTAAGATTTTAGACTTAAATGCACAAAGTTTGAGGAATTAAATAAAACCCCCGTCATCTCTGGAAGATGCTTCCTTTCTACTTACTTTGTTTAGCCTTAGCTCTGCTCTAATTTGAGGAAAAATATGAAATAATCTGATTTTGGATGACTCTGGTATCAATCAATTTGGCCTTCATGCATTTTTCTTTTTCCTGTCCAGAGTCCAAGGCGTGGGAGCTGGATACATGCCGCGGCCACTACAACAACGTCTCCTGCGCCGTCTTCCATCCGCGTCAGGAGCTCATCCTTTCCAACTCTGAGGACAAGAGCATCCGGGTGTGGGACATGTCCAAGCGGACCGGAGTTCAAACGTTTCGGCGTGATCACGATCGCTTCTGGGTTCTGGGGGCCCATCCGAACCTCAACCTGTTTGCAGCCGGTAGGTAGTGACCGCAGATTGCACCGGGAGCCTTTAAATCTGAAGGCTTCTTCTTTTAATTAGTGCTTGAAATTGTTTAGCTCAAGTCTTAACAGATTGTTTTTGTCCTTATTTAAACTCTGCTTTATTTCCTGTAGGTCATGACAGTGGAATGATCGTATTCAAGCTTGAGCGTGAGCGTCCAGCCTACGCCGTGCACGGCAACATGCTGTACTATGTGAAGGACCGATTCCTCCGCCAGCTGGACTTCAACAGCAGCAAGGACACTGCTGTCATGCAGCTCCGCAGGTTGGTCCTTTTAGCTTAAGATTTCCCAATGCAGCCTTTTAAAGCAGTCCAGGCAGCTTTGAATTATGCTTTTCCCTTTTCCCAGTGGTTCTAAGTTCCCAGTATTCAGCATGTCTTATAACCCTGCTGAGAACGCCGTCCTGCTCTGTACAGTACGTATCTCTCCCTGAAATCACCTTAATGATCATTCCCAGGTTTTTACAGATTTTTGCTGATAATTTGCTCTTTTCTCCAGAGAGCAACCAACCTGGAGAACAGCACATACGACCTCTACTCTATTCCCAAAGAAAGCGACTCCCAGAACCCTGATGGTAAAGAAAGCTTTCAAAATAGCGCCACCGTGTGGCCACTGTTGAACCTCAGATCTTTGATTATTTTGATTCTTCCTTCTTTTATCCATATTTGTTTATGTTTTTGAAATCTGTCTTTTTAAGGCTCTTATATATATATATATTTTTTTTTTCTTAAAGCTCCAGAGGGAAAAAGATCATCAGGCCTGACTGCAGTTTGGGTGGCGAGGGAACCGATTTGCAGTCCTGGATCGCATGCACTCTGTACGTGATTTTGTTAACAGTCATGTTGAAAAGTGTATCTAAAACATCAGAAGTGTTATAATTTTAAATTCTTAAATTGTTTAGTAGTTTTCTATATGTTAGAGCAAACTGCTAACCTTCGCTAACCTATTGATGTATCTTTAAATAGTTTATGTATCTATAACTCTCATTAACGTGTTTGTCTTGTAGCTTTTTAAAATCTCAACATCTGTTTTACTGCTGTTCAAAAAAATTAACAAATCCTTAATTCAAAAATATAAAAAAAAAAACATTAATATCCTGCTAAGTGACTTGATGATTTACCTTGTGTTAAGTTGGTTGTAGTAATCCTTGGGGAAGCCAAATGCAGGAGGGAGAAAACCCTCCATTTAAGTATCTAATTTATAAAAATTGTCGTTTTACCTGGTTTTGCTAAATAAATCCCCCCTTTTTTTTTTTTACTGTAGCTTCTGATCAAAAACCTGAAGAATGAAATAGTGAAGAAGGTCCAGGTGCCGAGCTGCGAGGAAATCTTCTACGCCGGCACAGGATCGCTGCTGCTGCGCGATGCCGACGGCGTCACGCTGTTCGACGTGCAGCAGAAACGCTCTCTGGCCACGGTCAAAATCGCCAAGGTCAAGTATGTGGTGTGGAGCTCCGACACCAGCCATGTGGCTCTGCTGGCAAAACATGGTGAGCTGATGAGAGTAATATCTGCAGCATTCATATATCCCTCTGAGCTTTTTTCTTCATTTTTACACCAAAATTGATTCAATTTTTTGCTAATTATCTCTTTTTATTTAGCGATTATGATCTGCAACCGTAAGCTGGAAAGTCTCTGCAACATTCATGAGAACATCAGAGTGAAGAGTGGAGCCTGGGATGAGAGTGGGGTCTTTATTTATACCACATCCAACCACATCAAATATGCCCTCACCTCAGGGTAAATTCTTCATTTATATGATTCAATATAGGACATTACTAGTTTTCTATTCCCTACTCTATATATATATATATATATATATATATATATATATATATATATATATATATATATATATGCCTGCCTGCTGTGCTACAATATATATGTTCATAGTTGGTCTGTAATTTTATAAAATTGCGCTCTAATTAACATTCCTGCAGTGATCATGGCATCATCCGGACCCTGGACCTGCCTATCTATGTGACCCGAGTCAGAGGCAACAGTGTTTACTGCCTGGACAGGGAGTGCAGGCCGCGGGTGCTCACCATCGACCCCACAGAGTACCGCTTTAAGTTGGCTCTGATCAATCGTAAATACGACGAGGTTTGTTTTCAAACTGCTGCTTCTTTTTTTTTTTTTTTTTTTTTACTTTGACTAATTTGTTTTCTCATTTGTTTCACTAATTATTATTATTTTTTTATTCCTTTAACTGTTGTCCCTTTAAGGTGCTCCACATGGTGCGTAACGCCAAGTTGGTGGGGCAGTCCATCATTGCCTACCTTCAGAAGAAGGGCTACCCTGAAGTAGCGCTTCACTTTGTGAAAGATGAGAAAACGCGGTTCAGCCTCGCTCTGGAATGTGGAAACATTGAGGTCAGCATGACAGACTGCTATAAGACATGAGCTTATGGAGCAGACCAGGCAAATCTGCTCTGTTTGTAAAGCTACCAAAAGCATAATCCTCTCCATAAATCCAGGTGGCACTGGAGGCAGCCAAGGCCCTGGATGATCGCAGCTGCTGGGAGCGTCTGGGTGAGGCGGCGCTGCTGCAGGGACACCACCAGGTTGTTGAAATGTGCTACCAGAGGACAAAGAACTTTGACAAGCTCACCTTCCTTTACCTGATCACTGGAAACTTGGCTAAGCTGCGCAAGATGATGAAGATCGGTGAGGAATGAGAAGATCTCGAACCAATTATTTGATATAATGTTATTCCTTTCTAACGTGTGCTTATTGATGTGTAGCTGAGATCAGAAAGGACATGAGTGGTCACTACCAGGCTGCTTTGTATCTGGGGGACGTCAGTGAGAGGGTCCGCATCCTGAAGAACTGTGGACAGAGTGAGTTCATTTCTTTCACTCATTTTCTGTCCTTTGATGCAAAATTCCTCCCTGCTATCTATACCTACCCATAAGTATTAACTCTATTCCTCTTGAAATCTAGAAAATGACTTAACTTAAATTGACTCCATATTAACATAAATATCATAAAGAAAAGTAAAATAAGCTCACTTATTAGATTGCTAGCTTTACCTCCAATTAATTAGCTGTAGTTTTCCAGTTGCCCTTGGGAACAACTGCTTCCAGAAGAGGAGACATATTGGCTCCACCTCTAATTTAAGGATATGCTGGTTATGCTGAATTGAATTACTTTAATTGGCACGCAGAGTTTAACTGCAGCTGGGCTGCGTTTAATGCAGTTTAAGCAAATGGCTAATTAAAGTCGGGTTACTCAGAACGCCACCGTTTTTTGCTCTTTGTAAAGAGGTATGTTTTTTCTGTACTTTCCCCTGCATAGAAGGCAGGTTTTCTTTTTAATCCACTGTTCAAGTAATGTTTAATAAAATTGTGTTATAACCTGTAAAAGAAAATAGATGGAAATGTGGTGCCACAGCTAACACTAAATATTACCTTTTTCAGTGTGTGCTCCTAAGTCCATTGGTACAGTGATATTTGATTATTCATAAAACTATTATTATGATATTTGCAAAAAAAAAGTATTTATTTGCATTTGTCTCTTACCTTTATCACATGTTGTGCTCTAAAACCTCCTATTAAACATGTTGCTACAGTGCAAAAAGTAAACAAATTTAGAGATATACATTCAGATAGAGATGTATAAAACCCTGTCATATATTCCACTTTTTTGTTTTCATTAGAAGCACAGTTGAGGTTAGACATCATTCTTGGTGCCATATGCCTTTTTTGAGTTAATTAATATTCACCTTTAAAAAAAAGCACACCACCTTGCATCTGAATTGCCATTGAAGATGGCTTAAAACTTGGGCCACACTTTAAGAGCTTTAGGGCTAAACCATAAAACAATTTAATTCGAAGCTTCTTAAATGTAATACTTTGAATTAGGAAAAAAAAACCTGATTTATATTTAATGATTTGGTCTCCTTAATTTGCTTTTTCAGAGTCTCTGGCTTACCTCACTGCAGCCACACATGGGCTGGATGAAGAGGCTGAGGCCCTAAAGGAGACCTTTGACCCAGAAAAGGAGACGGTGAGTTAGCAAAGAGAGGCTTCTGACTCAAAATGTAATCAGTAGAACAACGCTTTGTTGTTACAGCATTTATTTTTCTTCATTTACCATTTAAAAAGCTGTACTAAACAAAATTTTGTTTTGTCTACATTCTGTATTGTCAGGTCTAAGCACCTAAAACATCATACATACATACAGGGAAGGAAAGAAGGCACAGAGACAATTAATTTAGTTTTACTCGCGAGGAGAGTAGGAAGAGACTGCGGAGTTTACAAATCTCCAACCCACTCTGCCGGTCTTCAGCTTTCTCCTCTCTATTTATTACGTCAGGGGGGGGTCCCTAGTTACACAAGCTGAGGTTGTGCTAAAGGAAGAGGAAACAAGAAATACAATTCAATTTGCAGCCTCAGTGAACAGGTCAATTTGCATTTAAATGTCTTGCGGTCAAATGGTCCGAGAACCTCCTGGTTTCGTTAAGCTTGAGCAATACTTCCTGATAGTTGACCTATACTGCTTGTGCAACACCTCTCTGGAACAGTAGTATGTCAGACAGTATACATCATAAGAACAAACATTAAGTATCTTATACATAATTATTCCAACATGTATACAAAATTAAAATAAAGGTTGTCTAACTAAAACTTCTTGGTAAAATAAAAACTGTTTGATTTTTATGCCATGCAGGTGCCAGAGGTCGACCCCAATGCACAGCTGCTGCAGCCTCCTCCACCCATCAACCCTCTGGACACTAACTGGCCCCTGCTCACTGTATCGAAGGGCTTCTTTGAGGGAGCCATTGCAGCTAAAGGTCAGTCATCAGGAATCATTGCTTCATTCTTCTTGCAAAAAAAAAAAAACCCTTTGGGTGTATTTTGCCACATTGCAACAACAGCATTCAAGGTATTTTATTGTTAGTGTTTGAGTTAGATTAACATATTGGAGATCATATGTTTGACGTTAAAGAGAACCAGCAAGTGGTGGTTAATTTGTAGAAAATAACATTCAGAAAGATGTAATCTGTGTTCAGTCCCTGTTCATTTGATCTAGTGCCTCCAGTCGGCTGCAGAACCCCTCCTACGGGTAAACCCAGCTGCTCTATGGAGGCCTCAGATGTTAGAGAACCCCTGTAAACAAACAGGCTGTAAATAACAAGGGACACATCAGACAAAGATTATAAAACAAGATCCCAAGCTTTGAACATCTCAGAGCACCGTTTTATTTGTTATCTTAAAGTTTAGAGTGTGGAAGTACTTCAAACCTACCTGAGCAGACTAGCTAATCAGTGATTGATACTATCATAAGCAGCAATTAATCTGCATTTCCTCCATAGAGCTGCAGAGATCAGCTGCTCAGACTTTGTTGCCAGGGCTACCGTGAGCTGTGCACTCTGTAAATCTGATCATGAATAAACTAACGCTAACTTTAAACAAACCGCCCTGATCCAGCATGGCGGTGGCAGCATCATGCTGGTGAAACTCTCCTCAGGAGAAACTGAAATCTCAGTAATATGAAGGGAAATTTGTAGATAATATAATGTTGAAAATGACCTGCTCTACTAATGTCAACTGCACTGTAACTGCTCAGCATATTTACTGCATTCAGATGATTAATTATCCTATATTCATAGTGTTTCCAGATGGATTTTCTTGTCCTTGTTGTCCAATCATATTTCTCCTTCTGAAATCTATAGATTCTATCCAATTTAATAAAACACTATTAGACTAATCTGCACCAGAGGAATAATGTTTCCTTGTTTAATGAAGAGTAAGGGGAAGGAATATGTGAATTAACCCAAGCTGTGAGTTATTGGTGCTAAGAAGTTTTTATGTTGCAGGTAAAGCAGGTCAGATGGCTGCAGATTTGGATATGGAGGCTGCTGGAGGTGAGGGGTGGGGAGATGATGCTGAGCTCGCCATGGATGAAGGTAAATTGGAAACGGATAGGTTTTCTTCAGTTTCTTTAACGTGATTGGCTGACATCATTACATCTTTCTTTTTTTTTTTTTTTCTCCTAGATGGCTTCATTGATGCACAGGATGGTATAGGGGATGAAGGCTTGGGGAAGGAGGAAGGAGGAGGATGGGATATTGATGAAGAAGTGGAACTTCCTCCAGAGCTGGTGAGACTGGAAACAGATTTGGAGCTTCTTACATTGAATCAAACCCTCCTACAGATAAATGGCATAAGAAAAGTGTTTTTAAAAACGTTTATAGCGGAAATCCTAAATGGTTTTCATTATCAGCGATAAATTGTATTAGCCTGAAGCTCCTTTATATTTTGGTTCAATTTGTTGAAAATGAACATTAAAATTTCCTAATTTTACTTGCAACCATCAGGATGTTCCTCTGGGCGCTGGTGGATTGACAGAGGACGGCTTCTTCGTGCCGCCAACCAAGGGGATGAGTCCAACTCAGATGTGGTGTAACAATTCCCAGCTGCCAGTAGATCACATCCTGGCTGGATCCTTTGAAACTGCTATGAGGGTACGTTCTACATTTTACCTTTTTTTTTTCTCTCCTGTTGGTTTGCTATTTGATGCCAGTTATTACAAAATACAACCAATCCTAATGAGTGATGTCCATATAAACTAATCACCCTGATATGTTCTTCCCACAGCTGCTTCATGACCAGGTTGGAGTTGTGAACTTTGCTCCGTACAAGTCCCTGTTCATGCAGACGCTGTCTAGAGGGCGGACCTCTTACCTGGGGCTGCCGTCTCTGCCGTGTCTGCGCGGCCATCCTCAGAGGAACTGGAAGGTATGGCTCTTGGCTAATCACACAGCTGTTCACTGTAGATCCTTCTATGCCCTGACCCTTGGATGTTTTTGTAGGACTGTGGGGCGAAGCAGGGCCTGCCTGCTGTGGGGCTCCGCCTCTCCGACCTGATTTCCCGCCTTCAGCAGTGCTACCAGCTGACTACTGCTGGAAGGTTCGAGGAAGCGGTTGAACGCTTCAGAGCCATCTTGCTTTCTGTCCCTCTACTGGTGGTTGATAACAAGCAGGAGATAGCAGAGGTGAGCAAGCCTCTTCTTTGGATGACATTGGATATTAATCGGCAACAAACTGAAGTTCAGCTGATATGCATGTCCACATCTCTGTATTTTAGGCTCAGCAGCTCATCACCATATGCAGAGAGTACATTGTGGGTCTGACTATGGAGGTGGAGAGGAAGAAGTTGCCGAAAGAGACGTTGGATCAACAGAAGAGGATTTGCGAGGTAAAGATATGATCATACTGAACTGATTTATTTTGTTTTTCTATTTTTTAATACTCTGAACTGATTGTTTTTCTGTATTCTTTCTGTAGATGGCTGCTTATTTCACCCACTGTAACCTGCAGCCAGTCCACATGGTGCTTGTGCTGCGCACAGCTCTGAACCTCTTCTTTAAGCTCCGCAACTTCAAAACAGCTGCAGGATTTGCACGCCGTCTCTTGGAGCTCGGCCCGAAGCCAGATGTTGCACAGCAGGTTACCGTGGTTTCCTTTTATTCCATTCACAACCATCAAGTTGACATTTTACCAATATTTATTTATTTATTTATCCCCCCCATCCCCTGTGTTTTAGACCCGCAAAATATTGGCAGCTTGTGAGAAGACCCTGACAGACACCCACCAGCTGAACTACGACCCCCACAATCCTTTTGATCTGTGCGCCGCCTCCTTTGTTCCTCTCTACCGAGGACGTCCTGTAGAGAAGTGCCCACTGTCTGGAGCCTGCTACTGCCCTCCTTATAAAAGCCAGATATGCAGGGTAACACAGGTAGGCAAGGACACCTGGCATCCACAGATCTAGACTCCATGTTTTACTAGACGGCAAGGAGAATACATTTGTTCTCCAAGATATTCTGATTACCACAGTAGCTCTAGGAAAACATGGTTGTCATAGAAAAGTGGAAATTGTTTTAGAAATTCTATTTTTCATTGAGAAAACATAGTGCTTAAAAGGTCATATTAAATATTTATATAGATGGTTCTCCTAGATTGTCATTGAATAACGTAGAAATTTGTCCTATTGATATAATTTGCTCCATTTCACTTAGTATTTGAAACTTATCACTGCAGGCTGCACTGAAAAAATATAAGGTCTCAAACAAAGCATCAGTATATGAATTTATTTAAAATGTATTTGGGTTTTTATGATAAATATTTACAAAATAGAGTAGATGAATTATAAATGGTTGGTGTTTTTAACCTACAGCTTAATCCAAGTGGCATTTAAGGCTGATTTATACTCAGAAACCAGGTCGTCTGCATGTGTGCCGCAGTGAACGCAGATATGGCCCGCCCCTTCCGCAGATACTCTGCTGCACGTCTCCAACATTGTAGGTGACCGCAGACAGGAGTCCTCTGATTGGTCAAATCTAAATCCGCTCTACACTATGCGTATTTCCTGTTTGGTACCTTACTGGCTTGTTTTGTTTGTATGACCGCCATTGTGGAAAACGACTCATGAAGATGGACCAGCTAGAAGAGCGAGGTCCACGAGAATGCTGGGACCTTTTTTCCACCTGGATCCCCGCTCTTTTTTGCCCTCATGTCCCTCCGTTGTCGCACAAACTTGCCCCCACTTCCTCACCGCTTTGGCTATATCTAGACCCACAGCTAGATGGTGATTGTCCCTCTTGCGTTGTGGCGTGGAATAACACAGCGCAGACCACGCTTCAATATTGGGCATAAATAAAAAATATCTGCATCACACCTCCGACAAGCTCACTGCGACACACTGCTGCGGAAGTATAACCAGCCCTTTAGCCTTTAAAACGCATTTCTAAAAAGCCAATCGTTAGTCACGGTTAATATAATATTTTATTATTTTAAGATTCAGGATTGATTAATGTTTACTAGTTTACATGAATTCCTGAGAAAATTTTGGAAAACATGTAGGTTAACTAAATTTCCTTTATTTCACACAAATGTCTAGATTATTACAGTACTGTTTAGCATTTACGTTAGAAACGGATCATATTCTGCCATAAAAACCAAAATACATTTTTGGTTTTTTATAAACCTTTGATTTTTGTTTCAGTGAGTTTTTTTTAACTGTTTCCAGGGGTCAGAAAAGCCACCGTTAAGACTTTACAGCAATAAGTTTTATGACAGATGTTTTGTAGAGCCATACAGAAGTCCATTTAGGAAGGGCAACCTAAAGATTTACGTATTTAAAAACATTGGTTTTGTATTTTTTGGTGTATTGGTTTTTTTGATAATTACAGGTTTAGTTTGCTAAATTTATAAACGGCAATACTTATTACATAATTTTAAGTGTTGACAAGCTTCGATTAAGTTCCTTAATCAGTTTGTATTGATCTTGTTTTCTGTGATTTAATTTTATTTTTCAGGTGACTGAGATTGGCAAGGATGTGATTGGTCTGCGTGTGAGCCCACTCCAGTTTCGTTAAGGCGAGATGTTCTGCAAAACACATCCAACATAATACTGATGAAATAAACTTAAATCTGCTTACAGTACATGTTGATAGAAATAAAAATGCTTTTTCTTGTTAGTTCTGCTGTGTCAACCCTTTACTCCTATCTTAAATCCTATATATAAAACATGCTTTTCACTTTGTCTGAGCTCAAAATAAATATTTCAAAGTCTGTGGAACTGTTCTATTGCATCTGAAACTATAATAAAGCTCCTGTTTATGAACAGAACTGCATCGTGTTGTTTTGTTTCTGTTATACTGTGGTTATTAAAATGTTAAAGAGGGACGTGAATGTAGAATTGGATTCTTGAAGATGGACATTAAGGCTGGGCCATAGGGGACATCAAAACAAGGGAGCACTCTGTTGTCAGGTGGTGTTGCAGGGAAAGCTCAGGTTCACAATCTCTAAAATATAAAAATATTTAACAATTTTCTTTTTTTTTTCCTTTTTTTTACGCTTTATGGGGCAAAAAAAATAAATAAATAGAGGAAATGGCTATTTTTTGATTTAACACGGAACCAAAAACCGGAAGCGGATGTTTCCCTGATCATAGTTCGCTGTTTCTCTGCTTTTCAAACCAGGAAGATGGATTTGCTGTCTCACAACTGGATTGTATATTTGACTATATGTTTGTTTTTCACTGGTAAGTTTAACAATTAGTTCTGAGCTTATGAGCCCACATATCCAGTATAACTATAAATGTCAATTTCTTTTATTACGCTCGCTAGGTAGATGTTTCTGTGCCGTAGCTAGCTGGATGCTAAGCTTGTTAGCTGTAGCGACAGCTGCCCTGTTGAAGTTTAATCTGCATTTTAAGATCATTTACGGAGGTTTACCAAAGACCTTCATGGCTGAGAATAACTTTTATACCTCTGAATGGAGACCAAGACAGAAAATAATGACATATTGTCTTATTAAATGACAGCTGTCTTGGTTAATCGAAAACAAAGCTGAAGTTGGTTGACTTTTCGGTGCACCGGTTAAAGGCTATTTTGGTTATAAACAAGGCTTATATTAGTGTTTTTAAAGTTATTAGACTTTAATTTTTAATTATTTTAATCAAATTTATTATGGTTCTTTATTGTTTTTTTATCTCATCTGGAAACATTTTAATCAGTCTGTCACCAAACCAGATGACTTTTGATTGTAAAATCTGAAGGCTAGGCTATCCTGTATGACAGATTGAGTTTAAATGCATATTATGGAGCTTGAAACTTAACCCAGCCTTAATAAAGTTTAAAAAGAAAATCCTTGTTTAGTAAAACAGGGATGTGCTTTTCCTTCAAAGCTATTATCATGATTTAAAAGGAACTTCAAACAATGGACTCAAAATCTAAAAGTAAAAACTGGGTAAACCTTTCGGAAAATGTACTTCTGTAAATATCCGTTATTTGTAAAACATAGGGTTTGACCATTTAATTAGCTTCTTTTGATCCTGAGCTGATCAAATCAAAGGTGGATCAAAGTAAAAGAACTACACCTCCGAACCGGAAGCCAACTTCAGTGTGTTGTAGCCTGGCATCAGCGTGACTGCTCGTGATTTTTTTTCCCCCAGTGAAAAGGTGGAGATTTAGTCCCACAATGAACTCCTACATTCATTTTTATTTTAATTTGAGTGAAATCCCGCTGTCACACATAAAAACAAACAAATCCACATTTATAAGTTAAAATAATACACAATTTAATGGAAGATAATCCCTTTTCTTTTCATAATGTATTCTTAATTATGTCATTTAGTAATTATAGAATAAATATGGTTATCCCCCCTAACCATCTTCAGCCCTTTAGAGATTTTTAAAAAGAAAATCTCATAAATATTCTGGGAATAGTTTATTTTTTTATTCAAATAGCAAACATACCTAAATTATTTACCAGAAGTTAATGTGTATTAATAAATATGATAAAGCGTGTAAAAGTGTTAGTATTTCTAAGTGATGTTCACTTTAAACCGTTACTCCTCACTCCCAATTTTTAAATCAAATAGCTGACTTATTTGAAGAAAGTTTGAGCTGTTAGACTTAGATGTTGTCTGAGGGCAGCCGCCTTGCATTAGGATGGAATCCAGCCTTCCCCTGCCGCATTCTCATGTTCCCTTGTGCAAGGCACATGTTTCCGATCTGCATACCAGTGTGTGTGTTAGTGCTTGCTATAGGGTGAACATGGCTGTACTGTAAGGCACTTTGAGTGCTCAGTAGAACTAAAAAAGTATTATATGACCTTTGTCCATGTAACACTGGTGCATTACCTCATATATCACTTAAAATCCTTACAATGCATTTAAAAAGAGATAAATAAAAGGTCCTTTAATTTAACCTTTTCTGATTATTACTTTTTTCTTTCCTTCCTTCTAGATGTCAGTTGCAATTCAATGGAAAACAAGATTTACATCAATCTCAACTACACTATGCCTTGCGTACGACTTCTTAATGCAACTCATCAAATAGGTTGCCAGTGTGAGTATAACTGCGCATATGTTTAATTTTCAGAGTTTTCCGATGGGCAGAGGCGAACAAAAAGCTTCCCCTGTCCACATGTCCACATCCACATGCTAAAGTTTGCTTTTTCAAGTGAATCACTGACTCATAAAGGTGTTTTTTTAAATGTATAACCAGTAGAAGCAACAATACATTGCCTTGTTCAGGAGAAGAACAAAACAATGCACTTCAAATCTTAAGGTTTAAAGGTGTAAACATTTCTGTGGTGTTCTTTTACATGTAAACGTTGATAATTATATGTAAGCAATTTCAACTCTGCTAAAGGCTGCTTGGTGCAAGCCAAGATTTACAATTAAGCTCATACAGGAGGAGCAAATTCTGCAAAGTCATCAATGCAATCACATGGTTTTCCTTAAATAAAAAAACTTTAACCAATCTAACTGTATGATCTGGGCTAATTGTCTCTTGATTCAATTCAATTCAGTTTCTTTATATAGCGCCAATTCACAACACATGTCATCTTAAGGCACTTTTGATGAATTGATTCAAAGTTTTCTATCTAAGGAAAACCAGTTGATTGCATCGGCTTATTGACTTGAAGGCAATCCCTCACACTAAGCATGCTTTTAGTGACAGAGGAGAGGAAAAACTCCCTTTTAACAGGAAGAAACATCCAGCAGAACCAGGCTCAGTGTGATCGGCCATCTGCCGAGGCCGACTGAGGTTCAAGGAGACAGAAGCAGAGATAGAAATAGCAGCTGTAAAAGGCGGCCCCGTCCAGGAAACACACAGCCAGGCAGACGAGCTCCGAGCCAGCTCCCATGCCAGAGGACGAAGAGAGCACATCCAGCCAGTCACAGTCAGAGAAACAGGACTTCACTGGAAAACAGGCCGATCTCCAACATCTATTAACAAGGGTGTT